TTCAAGTTAGAAGTGTCTATTCAAGCTGTAGTATTATATGCAACGAAGAATTCCATGCAACTAAGAGATTTTACAGTGGCAAGGCAATAGTACAACTGAAACCGTAATTTCATTTCAATATTTTGCGTATTGAAAAACAACTGGTTCCCAGTGGCTATGCAGCTAGAGGTTGAGTATTTTGTGATATACTATACTAAAAACGTATTCATATTTAAGAAAGACAGTTTAACAGTAGGATACTCGACTTGTGTTGATACCAACATTGTTATGTTAATTGAATGATACCAACAACAAAGGCTTCATGCTAATATCTTATTCTTCTCGTAGACAACCGGTAGTGGCACGTAGGTTGTTATCTGGTAGAGTAAATGAACGTTACGAAATCTTGGTTAATGTTCCGATTTCGCATACTTATCAAAACACTACAACGACCCATGATTAACTAGTTGATGATTATGTAAGTGCATGATTTATATTGCTTGTTTCTATTGTTCAAATGGCGTGTTCCTTCGACATCAAGGATTCAGAATTAAACATATACCGGATAGTTTCAGGAAAGTAGAACCAATTATATTAAAATTCTATTCAAATAATTTCTTCAATTCATATCAGTCCGAGAGATTTATCAGAAATCTAATACCATGCAGCAAAAGACTGTGACATACAAAAGTGATATACTAAAATAATGCTGGCTCTTAGACAACTAATTTTTATCCGTCCTATTTTACAAATTCGTATGGTTTATCGATAATTTTAAGTAAAATGCCGGTCGCATAGCAGATGCAATTGAATTAAAAACCCGACGAAATATTCTACTCGTAGATGGCATCACATATGTACGAGCCAAAGCAAGTCTTTATTCAAATAATTCATTTCTTTCAAACAAAACATCTACAATAGAGGTTACACCTAATGATAATGTATTAAATGAGTTATTTACATTAAGTGCTCATTCGACTATTTAACACATATCTCATCAGGACCCATCGCCTACAAAATGTCAAATACTCATACGAATAAATGAAATGTATGAGAAATTTCTCGTGCATTTATTTAGTTCACATAAACTAAAACCATAGCTTATATGAGAAAAAGTGTAATGACTCAGTTAATGAGAGATTCAAAGCATTAGCTTGTTCAACTACTCTTATCATACTGAATCAAAATCCAATGATTTCTTGGCGTTGAATTTTTCGTGAAAACAGGATAACTGATACGAAGCTTTTATTCCGATAGTTATTTCAACACGAAAGTAAAATTTGAAGGCGAACATTAGAACGAATACTTCGAGGAAAGAAAATATTATGAACAATGCTGTTGTTCAGATATCCTATGTCAGTTTCAGTGATCTACATCAAATATTTTGTTTGATACAAGAGTTGTCGACTGATGAACAATGTTAAGGAAAGTCCTATTCGGATATATTCTTCTTCATCATTCATTGCACCTTGGCTGAGTCAATGAATTTTATTGATGTTTGACGTGAATGAATCAGATTGGCTTCAGCAATACTGTCGTCCTGGTTTTGTAAGGCCAACCTCGATTCGGCGTCTTGGGAATCATTTGGAGCATCATCACCAGCTGTTTCTACTGTATTGTACGCTGCTACCAAGACAACGATAAACAGAAGACAAAGGAATTTTGTTGTCAGAACCATAGTGTAGCAACTATATTGAATTCTGTATGAATGGATATGCGTACCAACTAAATCGTAAAAATGTAATAAAATGTTGTAACCAATATTTAGTAGACTTTTATAAATATTTATATTCAAAGATATGGTAATTTAAAAGAAAGAAATTTTCATATTTTGCCGCCTTTTCTCTCTCTCTTACATCAAGAGAAATCGTCATATGTGGGGAAAAGGGTGCAGCATTCAGCGCTTACATTAGAAAACGGTAATAAGACAAATACTTTTCTTCGTATTGCTGAATATTACTCTATAGGAAATTTTAATAATAATATTGTTCACAGAAATGTATCTGAATTCTAACGAGTGACAGCATTGAAAATGATCTCAATTAGAATTTATAAATCGAACTAGCTTTTCTTGCAATTGAAACAGGAAACATGTTTAAAAAACTGCTTATTCTCAATTACAAATTATAATATTAATCGTTCTTATTAATATCAATAAATCATATACATATTTTAGGGAGTAAATAAAAATAAAATGATGTCTGGTTTCATCGGAGGTAAACTTTAGAAGACATAATTAAAATCTGCTACTTCTGGATATGTTTAACAACTGAATTTCCAACACCTTTTCAAGCATTGTCTAAAAATGAAATAAAGACAACGGATGATCACGAAAAACAGTCTGCTGAATATTTTCTACTTGAAATATTTTTTCAATAGTACAATAAAGTAAAAGAACGCATTAGCATTGCACAGCACTGTCCTTTTTTGATATCTAAACAATGATAACCAGAATATTATAGAAGTTCATAAATCTGATAGGACAGTACGAATTATTTATTGTAGAGATTACAATTAAATTAAAGAATGTTTTTCTTTCCAAATGCTCATATCCTATGTAGCTCTCGATAATTTACGTTTTCGATTTAAAAAAAGATAAGGATATTAAGTATAATTCTATAATCGAAATGTACAACGTCCTTTTAATAACTATGGCTCTCTGATAGACCAAAATCTATCCTTATATTGAACAACGAATTCAATCGTTTCTTGATTGAATCCTGATTTATCTTTCAATCAAAATTATCGGGAACAGCGCTGGAACCGGTTCTGCCGGGCCGGTAAATACCGGAAAACCACAGGTTGACATTTTAAAATAACTATCTTCATTTAGCTCTATTTTTGTTAAAAAAATGTTTTATGAATTTTTCTATGAAGTAGATATAATGAAATTGTGCTATCAATATACGTACTGTAGAAAGTCTTACGAAACTGTTGATGATGCAAAATTTTGTGTAGTTCAGAAGGAATATTTGATTGTCATCATAAACACAAGCAATACATCTCATTTTCTTTCACAGTAAAGAAAAATCAACGAAAGTACGACAGCAGATCAGTTTGGTTGGTCTATGCACTCTATTTTATTGGCAGTGTTATTTTTTTATTATACATAGTTGTAAAAAGATGGTTTGATAATAAAATTTGAAACGTCTATCTTTTATTTTCTACAGATTTGTTGATAGTCTTTATCATATTTCATCAAGAATGTAAATTCTCTAAAGTATATTTTCAAATATTTTTCCCTAGAAGCTTGATCAGAAAATTTAGAGTATTTCAGCTATCAGCATTCATAATGTGAGGAGCTGAGTCATAAGATTTGAATAGGCCTGTTTAACCATTAACTGATTGATATCATTGCTGGAACTTGCTCTATCAATTTTTACCGTATTTTGGATATCTGAAACAATTTTTAAGGAATTCACTCCACCAGTTGTTGTCCGATATTTGCTCTTCATGGTTCTCAATTTACATTGAATTTTTTTCACCATGGGCCAAATCGTGAAAATAGTCAATTGGAACAGACTCTTTTGTTAAACGCAAAATTCGAGTTGAAAGTGAATAATCAAACACATTAAGTTGATCGCTGTATTTCGTAAAAACCAAAATGATAATTCGGCATAAACTTCAACTTATCACGTCGCCTTTTTTCTCTGTTCTCTTGCCGATTAAAATATAATCAATCATTATTTGATAGATGTTTCCAAAAGAAAAGCAAAGTCAATCTCTCCTATTTAACATATGAAAAGATCGATATCAAAACTCACTGCTAGTCAATGATTCGCATCTGATTAATACCGCTATAAGATCACACACACAATGATTATTCTCTATAATGATTCTTACTGAGATCTGGTAGTACAGAAGAGAAATTTGATCCTCCGAATAAAGTTAACGACATGTTGCACGAGCACAATCGAAACTACTAAATCATGCATGACTAGCATTCTATTATAACAAAAAAAAAGTAATAAACGCCTATCATTAACTGTAGTAGTCCTTCATTATCACCCGTTTGATAATGACTTGTCATTGTTAATGAATCAAAAAATGCATATATAACATTAAAGTGATAAGTGGCCCGTCAAAGATGCTTCTAATTTACTCAGTTTATTATTATTTCCATTTTTTTTCAAAAACAATTAGCAGCTGTTGTTTTCTTTTTGGTTATGATTCAAGATCAAAGCAACGATCGACGAAATGCGAGAGAGAAAATGCAATTCATTATACGAAAGAACAACAACGTTCGGTTTTTTTTTTCAAATCGTTTATGTACTGTCATCCATTTAGAAGGAAGTGTATCAAGATAGCTATAATTGCTTATGGGAATCATCCTACACACTGAACGATCATTTAATTTCACCATGAAATAAAAGACCGTTGATCTTTCTATCAAAGCGCAATAAGTCAATTGCACATGCTCGTAATTTAACAGAAAAAAGAACATTGTATGGCATAACAATTTCAAGTTATCGAATTCTTTTCAATATCAACCGCTATGAATCATAAGAATTCAACCAGTATTGAAAAATCCTTCGAATGAATTCACCATGGAATGTAGTCTTCACTAATGCAAATATTCCGTCAACCATTTCGATCTAATGTAAAATTATACAAAATTCAACCCTAAAAAGAAAGAGTCAATTATCTTCTATCATCTGATACATTGAAAAAAATCGATACATAAAATCATACGATTTTCATCCGCTATCCTATCTTATAACTGATTTTAGGTTCTCAGCAGGAGTATATACTATCTTTATGATTATATCATCAATCTCTTGAGTGCTATAGTATCATGTTTTGTTGTACCCCCTGGAAACTTTAACTCATTAAAGAGACTTTAACAATTCTCATTATAATCTTTGTCGCTATTTATATTTCATAAAAGAGATCAGATAGTCTAACATTTAATGAATCGATGCAACTGTTTCGTTTTTTTAATCACAATGATTAAATCTATTTTCATTTAATTTAAAGTTCAACAATTTTTTTTGTACAAAAACAAACGTTCTCTAATTTAATTACGATGGAAATTGTTTTTTAACATGCACTGGAATAGGACAACAAATTTTATCATTTGTCGAAAATTGTCTCAATTGTCCAGTTTTAATACGTTTCCATTTAGCTCGACGATTTTGCCACCAAATTTTCACTTGGATTTCCGTTAAATTTAATGTTTGAGCTATTTGTGAACGTTCAACAAGTGATAAATATTTTTTCTGTTGAAATTCTGCTTCCAATTCCATTAATTGTTCATTGGTGAAAGCTGTTCGTTTACGACGAATTGTTGTGGAACTTTTGTTTACTGATGAATAATTATCATCTTCATCGCTATCACTTGTGGTCGGACAATTCAAACTATCTAAAAACAAAACAAAAAACAACATATAAATTAACCAAAGAATATCTATTTGATGTTACCTGAATTGAAACTTTGTTCATGTAAATATGAATTCGTATACAATAATGAAGGTTTCTTATTTTCATGATTACTATTCAGTAAAGTATCAATAAAAAAATTCTTTGACATGATCAATTGTGAAATGAACGAATGCAAAGAGAATATATATATATATATATATGTACTATGAAGTTCAAATTATATGATGATGCATGGGGAAGAGAGTGAAAAAAGAAGATGTTCTTTCTGATTGGATAAAATAGTTCTAATTCATCGAAAGGAAAAGAAAAATGAATTAATCTTCTTTGAAAAAATTGATTGAAAGATGTTTGTTTTTATATTCACACCATCTCTATTTTCACTAGCGGATCATTCGCATTTCAAGGGTGCCGCATTGACTGTTAAAAATTAAAGATCAATCGTCAATTTTAACCTTCATTTTCTTCGATATCATTGTGACAAGAAGATAATCATAATAATAAAGACAAAAAACGTTATTTTAATGAAGCGTAGATTTGATCTCATTTAAATGACGATGCATAAATATTATTCGATAAGCCATTATCGTTTTTATTTTCATGCCTGTTTGAAATGTTTGAATAGCAAATAGATGTATTTGACCAAGACAAAATTTCACGTCTTGTTTTATTGAATAACAAATCGAAGAAGAACAAATTGCTTTTTATTGTATGACATTAAGCACGTAATTAATAGCTTAAAGAAGCGGCTTGATTGTTAGCGTTTTAATGTTAATTGTATAAGATGAATTGAGGATGAGAGAAAAAGCAAAGAAAAAGGTGAGGTGTTTTTATTTCACGCAATTGTTTAGTGATAGATCATTTCAACACTTATGTGATTTATATTTAATAACGAAACCTATTGATGGAAGAATGAGACAGCTGGAACTGGCTTAAGGATAGCCGAAATAGGATATGCTCGTACTCCTCTACTGTTTACCAGAGGATAAGAAAGATAGATGCGACAGAAAAACAACATCTCTGTTTAATATTAAATGTAACTAAATTATCATTTGATTATGTACGATTTTATTATTTTTGAAATCTCCTATAAAGCATTATCTTATTATAAGTATTCAATCTAATTAAATTTTTTTTGCTATCAAATTGATCTTGACATACGCCCTTAATCGACATCTTTAGTATGTGTCTGCTATGATTTTCTTTCATTGATAAATTTGACTCGTTAAATAAGCTCTATCTATCTTCATTAATAAGTTGTTATTGATGTTCATTATTGAGTATCTTCTATTGAAACTCTGTTGACAAAGAGATAAATTTCAATCGTTTTTACTCTATGATTCTCTATTGTTCTTATAGAGATTTTTCAAAAAATGCATGCAGAGTTTTATGTCATAGTTGAATTCTGAGAATTCAAAATAATTAGACAAAAACTGGTCACACGGGTCTCTGCAACATCAAATATTAGGAAACCATTTCATGAGTTATGTTTCTTGAAAAAAATCGTAAATATATCGAATCTACTTTTACCACTACGAACAAAACATCAGTTTCGTCATCGTTTGGATGAAAACCAAAATGTGAAATTTCGAGTTGACATAGTCCTCGTGAACAATTAGGATTGAATTATGAAAACATTTTTGAAGAAGATTTTTTTGAATTATTCAAAAAACCAAATATTGAATGCAAAAATTTCTTTATTCATTCTTATATCGGTCTGTTGAATATTTTTTTTTATTTGTCTATAAGCCAAAAAAAAAAACTTAGTTCTTGTTTGTTACAAATAAAAATCTACATATATTTAAATCATGCCTGTATATGTATGGCTAACAATGTCGAGTTAAATTTTTAGTGGTTCTTTCTTCTCATCATACTTATGATAATTTGTTATAAGTTCATGTTAAATAAAAAAACAGCACGAGAACGACAGTCAAAATCAGCAAAAGAAGAAGTAAAATGTTCAAAGGGTAGATATAAGAAATGACGGCTTATACGAACAAACGAAAGACAAAAAAAGAAACGAAAAAGAAAAAGAACGGTTATACCAAATGACTGCTATTTACTCGCTTAAACGTACACACAAAGATAGAGCCGTTGTTGTTTTTTTGTTACAAAAATCTGCGATACTCTTAATAGGCTTGCATTCGTTTGTTTGTATTGCCGTAGTAAGTTGTATTTCGGCCACGTTGTTGACCACCTCCGTAATTTCCGCTTCCTCCACCACGTTGATAACGAGCACCATTGCCATAATATGATTGTTGGCCAGAGTTATATCGTCGATTATTATAATAGCCACCTCCTCCTTGTCCGTTACGTTGATTATATCCTTGTTGCGCTGGACGATATTTCAAACCGAATGTTTCAGCATTTATACGACGTTCTTCATTCCAATTACGGCGGGAAACACTTGTTAAAAAGAAAACAAACGAAAGATAAATTAATTTAGAAATAAGATTTGTTTCTTTTTCAACATACGTTTTCTCTTTTTCTGTTGTCTCACATGAGATTCGATCAAAGAAACTTTTTTGTTTGTCATAATAACCTTCAGGATTTGTATCTTGTTGTTGTGGCTGTTCTAATTTAGTTGGCGATGAGCTTGTTGGCGGTTGTGGTGTTTGTGGTTGTTGTTCATCGTTTTCTTTTTCTTTATCTTTTTCCGTCGTGGATTTGTCATCATCTTTATCTTTATCTTTATTTGTTTTAATTGATAGGCTCTTTTTAATTTCATCTTCAATAGCATTTTTATCAAATTCAGCATTGGATTTTTCAAAATCAAAATCACCAACAAATTTCAATGTTGATCGACTGTTACTATTACCACGTATGGAATTAGCGCGTTCACGTTGTTGACGAGTAGTTCGTTGTTGATTTTGTGGATTACCTGTTATACCACCTGTTGAATTACGTCGTTCACGATAACCATAATAATTATCGGCTTGTTGGTTATTATTATTGCTATTATTATTGGTACCTATATAATATTCGACGATTAAAAATGAATAGATTTGATTTAGGAAAAAGAAAGCTTACGTTTTCCTGCATAAAAACGATTGCCTTCATAATTTTGTTGTTGTTGTTGTTGTTGCTGCTGCTGCTGTTGGTATTGTTGTTGTCGAGGATATCGTTGTGTTTGTTGTTGACGGTAACCGTTGTCCCAGGCGGAATTATTCGTTCGAGACCAATCAGAATAACCATATTTTTGATTTCCTCGTCGATTATTATTATTTTGATTGCTACTAAAATCATTATAATAATCTTGTTGTTGACGACCACGTCGTTGATTATTATTGTTATATGAATAATCTTGTCCTTCGGGTTGTGCCGATGTTGATTGTTGGCTGAATGGTCTTGATGATTGTTGTTGATTTAAATTTAACTGACGTAATGGATCTGTATTAGATGATGATTTTGATCCTTTGTTAGGCCCTTGTTGAACAGATGCCGATGGCATTGTGCCTTGATTTGTTGATGAACGTGCTTGGTTACCTCCGAGGTTGCTGTTTGTTCCACTCGTAGTAGAACGTACAGTAGGTGGATACATTGATGACTATTAAAAGAAAGAAATATAACTGTGAATGAACGATAGACCATTGAGTTTACTTCAACAATAGCTGGATCTTGTGTAAGAGTACTTTGCGGAGGTTCACGAACTTGTAAATCTTCAATATCAGCACCGCGAAAAATAATATATTCGAAGATTTCATCACGAGCTGGTACAGGCCGATCTGTCGGACGATCTTCTGTACCAAACGAACGAACTAAAAAGATAAACAAATATCAAAATAGTAGTGTTTTACTTGTGAGAGATATATTGATGCTTTTTTTACCTTTTGAAAGTGCTACAGTGGACTCATTAGCATCGATTGTATATAGAATACCTTCATAGCGAATTTTAGCTTTTGAAACAAGACTAATTTTTGAACCAAGATATGGTGAATCAGTTGTACCAGTTGAAGATGGTTTTTTTACAGATGAATTATTAGCTAAGCTCATTTTGATACTTTCTTTGGCTGTGGAGGATGAAAAGTGACGATAACCTGATAGATTTTTATTTCTTCTCTTTTGCTTATATATAACGCTTTCGGTTAGACGATGTGTTGACTACAAGCAGATAAATATACTGGCCAAGAATAGTCACATTTGGTTTAAAGCAAAAGAAAAAGAAGAAAAACAAATAGTATTGTTCGTCTAGGGTATTAAATTTATGTTCACTTGTGTAGTTCGATTCACATGTGAAACGAGAAGATAGATCTTTCTAGAATAGAACGAACGAAATATATATATATATATATATATATATACACATCGATTACGTTAATTCGAGGGTACTACAAGAAAATGAAATAAATACAAGAAACGAAGACATCATGACTGATAGTGTAGCGTCAAAGAGGAGGACCATTTCAATTTTAGAAATGACTGTCAATGACTCAGATGAAGTAATTCAAATTTTATGATTAATAAATAATATGGGTTATAAAAATTTGATTTTGTTTTAAAATATATAGTTCAATTTAAAAATTACTGTTCTATGTTTATGGCTAGAGGTCACTAATATACAACATGAAATCTAAATATAGGGTTTATGTATAATCCATGATGAATTTGCAAGATTAGTTTAATTTTACCAATCATCAATCAGTTATTCTACTAAATTATTGATCTGTTGAACATTTGTTTGTTTAATGTTTAATGGTTCAAAAGAAGTTTTAATTGGTCTTTATGCACGTACCAATCAAGTTCAATAATGAGTCATTGCGACATCTCGCCATTCTGTTGCCATGTTCATGCTCGGTTAAGTTAGTTCACGTGCGATGAATTTTAAACGCTTTAAGGACAGTCAAAAAGAATGAAGAATCACCTTGATCTCACCATTGAGTAGGTTTGAATACTTAGAAGAGAGCGAAAGAGAAAATCTAATTTAGAAGAGAAAGATCAATACGTTTTTCTTTGACGTCAATACAATATTTTGATTTTTTGTTGAATCATTTGTACAGGCGTATTTGCTACTACTTATGAGTAATAAATTGAGGTGTTGTTTTTCTTCATAAACAACTTTTGAAAGAAGAACCTCTGTAGCTATGTCGAGATGTTGCTGTTTTCTTTTCTTTTCTTTTCTTACAGTTGTTTGCAACGTATGCCAATTATAGAAGTGAGAAAAATAGAGAAACAAAACAACATTTTTCTTATTATTATTTTTTGACGATAATAAATATCTTGTGATGAATTCTTGTGGCGAACTCAAGACTTCAACCAACTATTTCATACGTTGAGTGTGTAAAAGTACATAGAAGTATTTTTTCATCAAAGTATGAATTTTTTTTTTCGAAAGCAGTAAGCCTACAGGTATGTGAATACTACTCGTAGTATGCGTGACACTGTTTTTGCCATTACTGATAATATGCACATGCGTTAAAGCTTAATTATTATCAAAATGGAGTTTTTTTCTTCTTGTTCTTTTCTTTCATTGAGTCGTTCTCATGTGCTTATCAATAGATAAAATAGAAAAGGGGTGCAATTGTATTCCGTTATTCATAAACATTTATAAATTGGTAAGAAAAAATCGACCACTTTAGATTGTCAATCAAAAATTCTTACTCGTTTTATCATAATGGCTGCGACTGAAAGACGTGGTCATGGTTAGTTTAAATATCTTTTTTTTTGTTATTTTATAAAGAAAGAACTTTTCTGATTTTCATAATAGAACGATCTGCAAGTGCTGAATTTAATCGTGTTGATCGAGCTGTGCAAATTCAAAATGCAACTGAAGTATGTTGCAACAAAAATAAGAAATTTCCATTTTTTGTGTTTTACTATTAGAGACTCCGCTCTGAAATGCTTAACTATGTAACTAATCGTTTTGAAGAATTCACATCGGAAATTAAAAAAGCTGCAAAAATGCCATTAATTAATGAAATTGTACAACAGCCTGTTGTACTACCTAGTGAATTAGCATCGATTAGTAAAGTCACGAATGAAAAGATTTCGCAGACAATTGCCTCACAACAAAGTATTGATATAAAAAGGTTTGAAAGATAAAAAATTTAGAATGTTTTTTTTTAATACAATTTTTCTAATATCTAAATAGATCATCATCAGCATTTCCAACAAAATCGTTCCGTATGCGTTCGTCTATACTGACGGAATTACTGGAAGTATCACATATACGATCGATTCGACAGATATTTATTTCTATACTTGTCCTTCTTGTTTTACAAGTTGCAATGACTGATCTATTCGAAACAGGCTCGTATGTAGAGTAATACTCTAATCTACTGATAAAGATCATGTTTTTTCTCCTCAATATTTTTAGAGTTGATTTTCGATTCGATGTTATTCGATGGAATTTTTCTAATCTATCAACATGTTTACGTCTTTGGTTTATACTTTTTACGTTGACATGTACTGTAGTTTATTATTGTTTTCATTTTTGGGCCTACAAACGTCTTTCGTTGATTCCAATTGTTTCATCATTGTCGCCAGATACAGAAGCACCGAAGAAAAAAACGACAAGTTTAAGTAAGAAAAATCGATTTATTGTAATTTTCGGTTTCAAGAATTTATACTCATGTTTTATCATTTAGTGATTTTCGATGGATTTTGGTTGACTGCATATTGTTTGTATATTGGAGTATTTCTATATTTTCCAGTGCACTTTATTCTGGAAGAAAATTATCCAATTGTAACTCGAATGATTGTCCTTGTAGAACAGGTAAACATACTAATATTTAGTTTATTATGTTTTACATACGAATCAAACGATTTCTTCTATAGAATTCTATGAGTGTATTCTTACGTAAAACTTGATTACTACTACTTTTTGATAGAAAACGCAAAATATTTTTCTCGGATCGATTTTATTATTAATCATCTATTCATTTTGTTTCTCAGTCTCACGAGAATATTTTCATCAACACCTTCGAAAATAATTGAATCAGCATGATTTTTCTCTCGATAAAACGAAGTCGATCTATAATTATGAGTGTGTCGCAGTTGGATTTTTAATATTTCTCGTTCTTGCTAATCTCCACTAAGAACGAACGTGAATATGTTGATTTGCTTCTACAAACTTAGGATTTTTCGCTTTTAAGTGAGACATCATATATCTCAACTTAAATCCGCACAAAGCTCTTATTCTATCTCGAAATCTTTTACATAGTATTCTGATTTGGTTTTTAGAGTAATTCAAATCTGATGATAGAATGCTACGACCGAGGACTAATCTCTAATTGATGACGATATCACAAGAGGTAGGAAAAAAAACCGAGCGAGAAACAAGCAGACACATAAATGTCATAATATCTGTTAAATGCATCACTAGTATGTCGCTATAGGTTTGAATTTCCTCGACAAGTGCAACTACATATCGACCGTTTCTTCCATTCTTTTCATTTCTAGGTCCGATTTCTAATGAAATCTCATGCATTTGTACGAGAGAATGCACCAAATGCTATACTTTATGGTAAAATTTATTCGCAACAAAGTTAGTTTTTAAAGGAATTGCGATTCATCGTTTTTTTTTAAATATTTATCTTTTCTTTGAAATAGTTAAAGTAGAAGATGTTGAAGATAAAGTAAACGATTCACCGAAGGAAGAAACAAATGGCATTATTCCACATACACCGTGTCCAGAATTTTCTAAATTTCTTTACTTCCTATTCGCTCCAACACTTATATATCGTGACTCGTATCCACGAACGTCATCCGTACGATGGAACTTTGTTATTTCACATCTAATACAATTTGCAGCAACAAATTTATTTGCTTATTATTTATTTTACCGATTTTGTTTACCAGTATTTCGTCATTTCAATTCAGAACACGTTACAGTAAAAATCTTTGTTCTTTCAATTCTCAACTGTACTTTACCAGGCGCTCTACTGTTATTTTGTGGTAAGTTTAACAGAGAACACTTCATTGATTAGTTCTTAGGAAAGAAGCGCTTAGAACAATCTTCACACAATCAGATTTAAACATGTAAGACAGGTACTCGTACTAAAAACAGGATTTAATGTTGATGTATATCTATTTTGGAACCACCAAATCGTCTTATTTGATTATCGAAAAACGCGATCAGGCCATAGTTCATGTATTCTAATAAGACAGTTCAAGGCTAGTATAAGATAGAGTAGCTCAAGAATAGGTCCTATACGAATTTTCTCCAGCTGTTCGGTCAAAATGATTATCCCTTATAAGCTAACGAATCTTCATTATTTTGAAACAGTAATGAGTTTTAATTTTTTGAGATTAAAATTTTTATAATATTATCATCAAAAATTGTTTGAAGATCTTACTATTCGATTTTCTGCAAAAGACATACCGACAGGAGTTCCTTAACAAGTTGAAGAAGAAAAATCTACTAATTACTCACTAGTCCAATGCGTTCTCTTATCCAAATAAAAAAACACAAAGGTTACCTTTCTCTGTTGTAAAAATAGGATAGAACTAAATAGGAGATACCTAACACAATATTGACTTTGCTCAATTCATGTAAATTAGGAACTGTATTAAAATTTTGAAGATTTTTCTTACATAACGTTTCTTTTTCAAGAGAAAAGAAACTCGATTTGAACGGTAGTTAATTCGTTAACTTCCGGAAATTTCCAGCTAGGAAATGAATTGTCTACCAAGAAAAGAATGAACTTGGCCGAGGCAATTTTTTCAGGTTCAGGTAATTTTAAAAGTTTAGTTCAAAGAGAAAGTCTTCTCAAGTGTTACAGAACAGTTATTAGGTTTTGATTTCATGGTTGAAAGTGTTCGAATGGCAACACTCAAAAAGTCTATTGTTTGTTTCGGAAACGTTGATGTATTCGGGCTTGGTTGGATCAGTTAATACATAAGTTAATCTTGATAAAAGAATTATCTTAGCTCATTTTATAAGAATCTACTGAGCTTGTAGTCTGTTGTATACAATACAACTGAAAATATAGTTTCTTCAATCGACCTCTCAACAGAGGAAAGTTTTTATTAGATTTTAACAGAATAATATCGTATATATAGTAAAATATTACAAAAGATATCAAACAAAAATAACTACAGAACAGTCTGCTCATTATAAACAGCCTTGGATTTGATAAATAATGCTTGCTACAAATGCTCCTCCTTCATGTGGCTACCTCGTCCATCTGAAAAAAATGAATGTTTTACTAGTTCTTTCCTTTTTTTAAGTATAACCTTGCTATTGTGAACAGTTTTTTCAACCTCTTCCGTTTTTCTGACGGATGTTCCAGAAAGGCAGAATAGGAAGAACATCTCTGTTTCTTTCAATTTCATCAACGTCAAAATTAAAATAGTACTGTACCCCAGATATTTTTAGTTGTGACACTCATTTTAATCTAGGAAATTTATTAACATCAATGTTTGACCATAAAAGCTATCTAACAAAAAACATGGTTGATCCTCATTTCTCTGAAATATTACTATCACAGTGTTGATAAATTCTGTACCTATTAAGAATTTATATTGATCATTTCTTAGACATTGCTAGAATTCATTGAAATGAAACGAACCTACACAATATAGATTTTGTGTACTCAAAAAGTGAGTACACTCGAGATTCGGCCAGTGTGTTCGGGCGTCCGTTAACACGATACCTCTTGAAAGCCTCATCCAATTGTCATGAAATTTTGTACACAGAATTGACCAGACCATCCCTGAGGGAAGGAGGAGGTTCAGGGATTTTTTTCTGAAAATTATTCACAACATATATAAATCGACTCAGCTTTTTGCAGTACACATAACAATCGGATGCGAATCCGATGTTTCCATATTTATTTGGTTTTAAAATAGAATCGAGGTACATCGCAATTATTGAGAGTATATAGTTGCATTGATTTGAAAGCGATGTCAATGTGTGTTATGAATTCTTGTTAGGCTTCGTTCTTCTTTTGTTTTCTAGCTTTCTATGGTTTTCTTCATTGTTGGCTCAATGCATTTGCCGAAATGCTTCGTTTCGCTGATCGACAATTTTATAGTGTATATAATTTTAATGACTAAATTTTCTCGATTTACGATTAGTACTATTTTAGGATTGGTGGACAGCAACATCATGGAGTAGTTATTATCGAACATGGAATATTGTAAGTTAAATTTTCTTTAAAAAAATCACAGTTGTCTTTCAACTATCACCATTTAGGTCGTTCATGATTGGCTCTATACATATGTTTATCGTGATTGTCATAAGGTAATGAATTTTGAAAAAAGAAAAACTTATTTTCATTATATCCTTTAAATTAGTTACTTGGCGTTAAATATCGGTTGGTTTCAATGTATGCAGTTATTTTCCTTAGTGCATGTGTTCATGAATACATCATATCATTAACGTTTGGCTATTTTTATCCTATACTTTTTGTTCAATTTGCTGTACTCGGTTGTAAGTATTTTCGACTCTGTTGTTTTTAATGAATAAAAACTTTTTTATTTTAAAAAAAAGTTATTTCAATGCTTATATTACCACAACGTACACAAAACTATGCATTTAATGTGTTCATATGGGCATCATTATTTGTTGGGCTTGGCATGCAAATGTGTTTATATTCTATCGAATGGTACGCTCGACAAAATTGTCCGCGTTATGTGGTAAGTTGAATTTCGAAAATTTGATTTTCATATGAAAAGCAATACTTTTTCTTCTTCCCTAGAATGGACCTTTGGATTATTTTGTACCTCGATCACTTTTTTGTCGTGATAGTGATGTTATCAAATCTTCCATACCGAATAATATACTTCATAATCATCATGATTTATGATTGTTCTAACTGATATTTTGTGATAAAAAAAAATTGATATCTTTTTGTCTGCCGACTTGCCAAAGTTTTATTTCTTTTTCTTTATTTTTTCCTTTCCTAGTCTCTGTTTCTTAGTCATTTTAACTTACACATATATATATATATATGATTATTATTCATTTCGAACTATTTATTAATGATTCAAACTAAACAACTATCATAGACTGTATTTATAGTTTTAAGGTTTCCATTTTGTTTTCTTCTTTCTTCTGCATTATGTGATTTTTCAATATGTATCGTCGGTTATTATTTACATTGTTGAAATTTCGTGATGTCTTTTTCTTTATATTGACAAAATATGACCGAAATTTCGATTGTTCATTGTGTCTTTTCGGCTTTCTTTTTCTGTAATAGTAACCATTTGATGTTTATATATTTCAAGGAACTTCAAATAAAAATTACAAGCAAAGAAAAGAAATTGATACTTTGGCATGCACCTAAGCAATGTTCTTTGCCAGTTCATTAATGCCTCCATTATCTGCCTGTCATCACTACACACAATCTGTGTCGGGTGATGAAAGCCTTCATCATAGAATGAAAAAGTGGACCAGGGAGGTTTTTTCTTTCTTTTTTTTTGTTGAGTAATAATCGGTTAATGTGCGAAAGAGTAATGAAAAAAAAATGGATATGATTTATGCTATAGTTGTTTCGTTTTTGTGTGTGTGTGTGTGTGTGTGTATATACATATAAAGGATGCATTGAACTGCAGGCAAGGATTTACTTGAACTATGAACATCATATATCAATCATTGTCTTTCGATATCTATGATAATGTAAACAGACTTCTTGCTTCTTCTTCTTTTTATATCGGGATATGAGGTGAAGATCTACAGGTCAAATAGGCCCGACGGGTTAACATGATTCACTTTTTTTTTCTTTTAATTTATTATTATTGCTACTATTACTATTACATGAGAATCAAGTAAGTTATGTAGAGCAAGAAAGACACCGCACAAGGTCTTGCGCTTTCTCATAAGCATTTATCTTGTTCATTCGTTCTTTGTCTACCCATATTGGAGGGCATACAGGCCTTCTCTTGCATGTTTGCTTGCCATATGTCTTAGGACCTTTAGAAGAAGAAGAGAAAGAAAAAAGTTTTCTTCTTTTATCGTTCTTTTTTCTCCTTTGAGTCTGTCAAAAAATTAGAGGATCAACAGCAAGCTGTTTCTTTTTTATTTGCATTACATTGGTTGGTGTTCAAGGAGAAACCGAAGAGAAAAGCGTACAGCTTATACGTGGATGGTACCGCATTGTAAAGAAAAGGAACAAGGAGAATATATTGCATGTCTTATGCAAGAGAACAGGCTATTCTTTCCTTCACACTTATAGAACAGAACACAACCAAGGAACAAAAAAGAAAGAAAAAAGAAAAGAAAAAACCGAGGCTGCCTCACGTAAAGAACAATCCACCGCGGCTTGCTACACATGCGTTTGTCGATAGGAAAAAGAGAGGCAGAGAGAGAGAGCGTCAGAGAGAGATAGAAAAAATGAGGAAAAGAGAAATAGAGACCAAACTTTATTCATTCACTCATAGAAGAAAAAACCAAGATGCACGCGAAGGAAAAAAAATCTCTCATTTTTTTTGCGAGATTTTTAGGGTCATTTTTTGCTTTACTTTCTTGCCTATATACTTTGTTCGCTATACTCTCGATTCTCATTGTCATCATCTATGGCGTCCTTGTTTTCCTGGCCTATTACACTAGTCGACAGAGACATCGTTGTATCCCAACAAAGTGCAACCAAGTAACACGAACGAGCGAGCGAGAGAGAGAGAGAGAGAGCAAAACACACCTTCATATCTATATTGTCCGCAAGCGATTGTTTAATAAACTGTATTGATATATATATATATTTGTTCGGTAGAATGAAGGTAAGCTAAGGGTGAACTGGTTAAGAAGAAGAATCTCAATGTTTTATTATTATTATTATTATTATTGTTGTTAATAGTTATTGACCTTTGTCAATGGATGTATTCACCTTGACTTGGTTCGTGTGAAACTTCACAATAGTATATCCTCTTTTTCTCCTTCTTCTTTTTTTACCACTGTTCAAATCGAAATAAAATGCTTATCAGTTGTCTATATGTATGAAATAGGAGATTTTCATACATTCAATGTTGTAGTAATATAAATTTCTTCGTTTTTCTTTTTCTTTTTCTTTTTTTTTTACATTTTAGATTGTTGTCGGGTTCCATCAACGACTGACAGCTAGATGAAAGTGAAAAAAAAGTAGGTTTCAAACATGTGTCGTTACATATGATTTCAATTGTGGCCAGTTTGCTCGAAAGGCCTCTATAAAACGAGCACGATAAAAAAACAATCCGAAATCATGAATGAGACTAGCAATATGAACAGTGGTACTACCGGTGGCGTATGTTCATCGTGTCTTAAAGAAATGCCTATTGTTATGGCATCATCATCAAATAATCCCTTATCGAAATTATGTTCGAATTGTATGACAGAATTTGTTGATCAACAACATTTTACTTCTGATATGAACAATAAATTTCCTCTCTTACCTTCATCACAATCTTTGCTAAATAATCAACAACAGACTCAATCAATATTTCAAACACATTTTTCATCATTACCTTCATCATCAGCATCATCGACTTCATCGTCTGTATCGTCAACAAATCGTCGTTTAAGTGTATTTGATCCATTCGTATCCGGTAATCTTACTCAAAATTCAATACATAATCCATTAACAGATCTAAATAATGCATATTCACCATTAATATCAACAAATTTCAAAAGTGACTTTGATTTAACAACACCAACATCACCAGCAACAAATACAAATGATTTCATGCGATTTTTCCCTAGTTTTCTTAATGGAAATAATCATAATAGTGATCGCGATAGTCCAGCAAGTAGTACTCAAAGTAATGATTTATCTCAAACATTATTTTCGCGTCAACAATCAACAGCATCATCGTCATCAATAAATCGTTTACTATTAAATGATCGGCCATCATCGTCATTTTGTTGTTTTGCTAACAATCCTCCGTATACATATTGTCTTGATTGTGAAACGTCCTTATGTGAAAAATGTGCATTAACACATCCAAAAATTCTTAGTTTTAAAGATCATCGGCAACATTTATTAAGTTCACAATTAAATCAAAATCGATCCATTATTGGACAACAACCTTCATTATCAAATACAGGTAAATTTTCTTTTTGCTAGTTCCTATTATTGCAGAAACTAAAATTTTCCTTTAATCTTTTAGTTCGTTTACCACAACAAAATCAAATAGATTTTTCATTAAATCGTTCAAATAATTCCTCGAATGATTTATCATCATTATTTAGTTCATTTTTCTCTCAACTTTCATTAAATACATCAAATAATGAAAATTTAATGAATAACAACAATAATAACAATAATAATTCTTGTTTACCATCATCATCAACTATTGTTTGTCATGAACATTCAAACTTAAAAGCATCATATTATTGTGATATATGTTCACATGCATATTGCCATGAGTGCCAAATTCATCATGCTCAACAACATACATTATCATCGTTACAAGATACGATTGATAATGCTCGGCAATTAACAAAACAATTTCTAATCGAATCACAAACATTATTATATCATTTAGATGAATCATTGAAACAATCGACACGTACAATTGAAAATATCTCAATAAAAAGTTCAACAATTGAAAATGAAATACGTTCAATGATTAAATATTTTCTTGATACACTTGCACAACGACAAGATTTTCTTTTGAAACATGTGGATAAAATACAAACCATTAAAACGCAAACATTACAAAAGCAAATCAATGAAATTAATCAAGTTATTAAACAATTACATTTAACTATACTTGGTAAGTAGATATGGTTTTCTGAAGTAAAATTTCGGTTCATTCTTATTGTTTTTCTCTTCCTATCGATTTAGATTGTAATGAATGCTTAAAAACTGGCAACGATGCCGATCTTATACGTACACGCAATCGCCTATGGAATGAAATAATTAAAATGAAACAAACATTATTATTCTATTTGAAACCTGTTGAAGATGATTATATACAATTTCAAGGTTCGGCAGCGACTATAAATAAATCTTTAGCAAACTACGGTCAACTAATAACATCAACACATCCAGCCTTGTGTGAATTATATGGTGATTCACTTTATAATACAATAAGAAATCGTTTGAATGTATTAAATTTACAAACACGTAACCATCTTGGTGAATTACGTACAACAGGCGGTGATAACATTCAATGTTGTTTAATCGATACAGGTAATAATCAGACAGTTCCATGTGAAATCTATGATCGTCAAAATGGACAATATTTTATAACATATATAGCTCAAAGTGATAATTTACATATGTTAAATGTGTATGTTAATAATGCACCGATAAAAGATAATCCATTTCGTATCGAAATAAAACAGAATCGAACTTATTCAACATTAGGTTTAAAATTAGAATTTGAAATTGGTGGTGAGGGTGATGAAGATGGTAAACTGTGTCGACCGTGGGGTGTTTGTTGTGATAATCAATCGAACATAGTTATTGCTGATCGATCAAATAATCGTATACAAATATTTAATAAATATGGACAATTTCTTCGAAAATTTGGTACACAAGGAAACCGGCCGGGACAATTCGATCGGCCGGCTGGTGTTGCATTCGATAAACAATTAAATCGAATTGTTGTCACCGACAAAGATAATCATCGTATACAAGTGTTTACATCTATTGGAGAATATATATTTAAATTTGGTGAAAAAGGCACTAAACCCGGTCAATTTAATTATCCATGGGATGTAGCTATATCATCAACATCACAAATATTAATATCCGATACACGTAATCATCGTATACAATTGTTTTCAAAAGATGGATTATTTTTACGTAAATACGGTTTTGATGGTCCTGTATGGAAGCAATTCGATTCACCACGAGGAGTCGTTTTTACTCATGCTGGACATATAATTGTATCCGACTTTAATAATCATCGTCTTTTATTCTTATCATCAGATTTTCAAAATGCAAGATTTCTTGGCACTGAAGGTTCCGCTAACGGACAATTTCTTCGTCCACAAGGTGTTGATATTGATGCTGAAGGAAACATATTAGTTGCTGATTCAAGAAATTATCGTGTACAAGTTTTTTCACCGCAAGGAGTTTTCAAAACAAAATTCGGCTCACAAGGTTCTGGTCCTTTACAAATGGATCGACCGAGTGGAATATGTGTTACACCCGAAGGTGTCATACTTGTTGTTGATTTCGGTAACAATCGTATTCTTGCCTTTTAATTATGTATACGATTTCCATTCTCACGGTTTTCACTCAGGTATCTATCTATATGTTTTAATATATATTCACACACACACACACACACACACACATATCAACCCGGTAGTTTATAATGCACAAAGAACAGTCTCTTTTCTCTTTCTCTCCGAAATTTCGAAAACAAAATACAAACGAGTTATCATATTCATTATAGCTCATTCTATGAGTGAGGCATAATTAAAACAGTAGCAGAAATAATACAGTGTATTTATATGTGTGTAAATATTCAATCATTTTGGTTTTTTGATGTTGTTGTTTATAATCGTTGTTTTCTGTCAAGTTTTCTTTTCCCTCTAACTATCTTTCATTTATACATTATTATCCCGTTTATTTCTTCTTCTTCTTCTTTCGAGCACAGTATGCTTCTTTAAACGAAAAACTTCCCTTTTCTCGTTTTTTCTTCTTCTCTTTTTCGCTCTTTCTACAGCTTCAAGTTGCTAAAACTATCTAACGAATCACCTATACTACAAAAACAAAATTCAGGACTTCACATTTATAATATTCACTCAGGATTGGTTCTCTCAGGTTGAACAGTACTGACTTTTCTCTTTCGTTTTCTTTTGTTTTAACAAAAATAAAAACATGTACCTCAGGATTTTTCGCTCTGCTACTATTGATAAATAAAAATATCGTCTAATCATAATAATAACAAAATAGAACGAATAATGTTCTTTAGTGGGCTTTTTTAAAAAACATAGATACACTAGCAGTATGCAGATAAATCATAAGCGCTCAGGTTTTTAACCAAATATTTAATACTAAAAAAAAAGAAACTACACCAAGTGTTTTTTTTTTGGCTAAAATGCTACTACTATTAATTCACTTTTTTTTGCTTCAGCATTTGTCTCATTCTAAGCTTCTATATCGTCTTTTTTTTTCGCGTATCTATGTGTGTGTGGTGTGTGTTGTTGCCTTTTTTTGTAAAATAATCTTTTGTTTTTTGAAATTCGAGTGCAAATCATTAAAAATAAAAGTCGATTTCTATTTATTTGTTGAGTAGTTATTTAGCCTTCAATTCAGGGTCGGCGTCGGCGTCGCCGCCGTCGTAGAAAAATGATGCTCCCGCCAAGGTTATAATTAAAGTACTGTTTATGTCTGCATGTAATATATTTACTGTCTTTTCCGGGTGAAAACAAAGTTTGGCATTGAGAAAAAAAAAGAATTGTTTATCGTTAGTTCGTTCTGCGGTTTTTTTATGACGATAGAATAGACGTTCGACCTTGTCTGTCTTCCTGTCTGGGTAGTTATTATAATAGATTATGAAGCGAAGGAGAAATAAAAGAAGAAGAAGAAGAAGAAAAAGAAAAAAAACTCTAGAGAACATGTTTACATCTATTCAATGAACAACTTGTCTGGCGTTTAGTCAAGGCCATTGTATAAAGGACATGAAAGATACTTTCTTTTTCTTGTGTGCTTCAATGATTGAAATAGAAAATGTTACGTATGATCATAGAATGGTTCTTTATTCTTTTTTATTTTTAAATAAAGAGGCACACCTATTCAGTTGGATAGTATCATCGGTACAATAGCAGGCATATGGTGGCTGAATACCGGAATTTGAAAAGCAATAACCGGGTGAACAATCGATACTACAAAAAGCTAAAAAACAAAAGACAAGTGCAAAATTGAATAGATCTTTTGAGATTTTACCTGGTCGAATATTTGTTTCACATAGACTTCCTGTATAACCAGGAGGGCACGAACAAAGAAAATTAGCACCGCCATTAGTACATGTGGCAGAATTCAAACATGGATTACTATCGCATGGTACTGAAATAATAAAACAAGCACAGACAAGAAAAAATAAATAATAGAATTGATTTAGCCAGTGAAAACATTCATGATTAGCTCGCTATGTTGCTCGATACTTATCGGCAAGGTACTCTATATTACTAACAGCTATGAAATAATTTGAAGGCTCTAAGTCACGAACGATATATTTGTTTTGAATCATCTATCTTTGACATACACCTACTGTCGGTTGAAAATCTGAGGACTAAATACTATTACGTATGGTGAAGATGTTGGATCATTGAATCTGTCGTGCGAAAGTATCTCATACTTCAAGGCATCACTTTTTTGTTGCTTAGAATCTACGATCAACTTACATTGAACTGTAGATATTAATTCACAGCGTTGTCCTTTGAACGGATAAGGACATTTACAATTGAATGTAAATGGGCCATCAACACAAGTACCACCATTTGCACAAGGTTGTGCAGCACATTGTGACACTACTTAGAATTTTCTATAGCTAATATTAAATTCTATTGATAAAGTTACCACTAATTGAGTTTTGACATCGATCTCCTGTGAATTGTGGCTGACAAACGCAGCGCCAGCCAGCTCCATCTGTGGTTGCAAGACATAGACCTGCATTAGCACAAGTTGTTGGACTACATGCAGCTGATATAAATATAAATAAAAAAACTTCGTAATAAAAGAAAAAAGTCAAGTAACGTACTTGATCTTGTTTCGCAATATGATCCAGTATATTCAACAGGACAAACGCATCTGTATCCATTTCCAACGTAAAAGCATCTTTGAAAAAAATGAAAGATAAGCAATTAAAACAAATGACATACTTTCTTTTCAAAAAACTTACTGGCCACCATTTAAACACAACGATGGATTACTAAGGCAATTGCTTGTTGCTTAATACGTAAACAAAAATGAATTAAATATTAAAGAAAGTAGCATAGAGATATTTTTCATTTTACAAGTAGTAGGGGTTTCACAATTTAATCCTGTCCATCCTGGTGTACATTGACAAGTAAACGCATTAGTTCCGACGGGTAGACATCTTTTTAAAAAAGTCGTATTATCTCAGATTATTTTAATTAGTTTCTCCTCTCTTACGTTCCACCATTTCTACATCGACCTAGAACTAGGCTGCAAACATTATTAGTTTCATCTAGAACACATAAATTTTATAATTCATTTTCAAGAAAATAATATCCTTTCTCACTTTGTGCGATTTGTTGACATGTTGTTCCTATGTAGGGTGGTGGACATAGACACATCAGTGCATTATTATTTATTTTACAACTAGAACAAATCAACGGCTCAATGAAAAACTACGCGATTCTTCTTGCTTACGTTCCACCGTTTTTGCAATAATTAGGATTAGCACTGCATGCACTGCTTTCTACAGAAAAATAAAAAAGAAATATTTCAAAAAAATACTACTAAATTTGTTTTGAATGAAACTCGGACCATATTCATAGGTTTCACATTTTTTCCCTGTATATCCTGATAGACAAGAACACGCATTTTCAAATCCATTGAAATAACAACTAAAGATAATTTATTAAAATCAAATATTCTGAGTATTTCTTTTTCAAATAGCTTACGTTCCACCATTGATACATGAATTTGTCGGAAAACACGAAACTAAAAAATAAACTCATTTACTCATCAGTATATCGATAGAGATTTAAATTACTTGTAGAATTTTTTTCACAGTATTCGCCTTCAGTTCCCGTTCGACAAACACATCGAAAATGAGTTGAATTGGATATGCATCTTTAAAATAGTCAATGTTACAAAGAAACGAGAGGACTTTCAAATTGTCAATACATACGTGGCTCCTTGTTTACATAGAGTTGGATTTATACTGCAAATTCTATTTGGTATGACTAAAATTAAAATTCATAGTTCTACAAATTTGATGATCATGATATAAATACGCGTTTGTTCTTCGCATCTTTTTCCAGTGTATCCCGATAAGCAAAAACAAACATTTTCAAACCCATTGAAATAACAACTAAAGATAATTCATTAAAATCAAATATTCTGATCATTTCTTTTTCAAATAGCTCACGTTCCACCATTGAAACATGGATTCGTCGGAAAACACGAAACTAAGAAATAAACTCATTTACTCATCAATATATCGATAGAGATGTAATTTACGTGTGGTATTTTTTTCACAGTATTCTCCTTCAGTTCCAGTTCGACAAACACATCGAAAATGAGTTGAATTGGATATGCATCTTTACAACAGTCAATATTACAAAAAAAAACGAGAGAATTTTCAAATTGCCAATACATACGCGCCTCCTTGTTTACAAAGAGTTGGATTTCTATCACAAATTCCATTTGGTGCGACTAAAATAAAAATAGAAAGTTCTGCAGATTTGATGATCATGAAATCTATACGCGTTTGTTCTTCACATCTTCCCCCACTATAACCAAATGGACATGCACAGACAAATGTACTTCCACTAGCAATACATCTGTAAACAAAAATAATAGAATCAACGTGCTGAAACATTTTTTTAAATCAACTTACGCTCCACCATTCATACATGATGTATAATAACAATTGCCCGCTAAATTTTAGGTGTTTTCTGTTATGAGAGAATCATTTTAAAAGCTCACTAACCATTCGTATTAACTTCACATGTCGCTCCTTGAAAACCTGGTGAACATTGACATTGATAACCGTTGCCAACATTCGTACAACTGAAAAACATAATCTAGCAGTCGTTCACTAAGATTCTCTTATACACATACATGCCCCCGTTTTTGCACGGTGACGATGAGCAAGGTTTAGCTAAATTATAGTGGTGAAGTTCAAAAACAAATTTCTAATATTTATTTATTAACATACTATCAGATCCAAGTTGACATTGATTGCCCGAGTATGTTCCTTTACAAGTACAAAGAAACGAACCACCAGCTGGTGTACAACTACCATTATTAAAACAAGGGAAACTTGAACATGCATTTGATTGACCTTTCATAGAAATAATATTCAACAAGTTTTATCAGATATGAACTTTTTAATTTACCAATCGGAATTTCACAAAATTGACCGCTAAATGTACCCGGACAAGCACATCTTAGCCGATTAAGTGCATAATCAAACGTGCACTGTCCATTATTGGTACAGTAATCTTCAGGACAAGTTGTTTTAGGATTAGCTAAATTCAATATTCATTTTTTTTAAAGGAAACAATTTAATCAGTTTTACAAAATAGCGTACAACATGTCGATCCAGTATATGCTGCCGGGCACGTACAGTAATAATTTGCATTATTATTGAGAGCTACACATGTTGCACCATTTTTACAAGGCATAGAAGAACAAATGCCTAGCGAAACGTAGAAGCAATAAATCTATCTTGTAATTATAAATACCTGTTGGCAGATTGAATTGTTGACAATTAGCACCAGAATATGAAGATGTACATCGACATGAATAAGCACCATCGATGCCAGGCACACAGGTAGCACCATTTTGACAAAGTTCCGGTTGGTAATAACATCGATTCATATCTAACAAAAAAATAACTGAAATTTCAGTCACACATATTTAGTTAATCATACGTTCACATCGTACTCCATAAAAGTATGCACCACATGTACAAGTATAAGTATTGCCGAATTGAGATGCCGTGCATGCGCCGTTATTTAAGCATGGATCTGATGCACAAGGTGATGGGGTTACCAGAGTGGCTATTCATAAGGAAATTTGAAGACAGAAAATAGAAAAACCTACATATGAAAACTAAAGATCTAACTCGGCCTATATGTTGTTGTTGTTGTTTCTAAAAGTAATTGGTCACACCGTTTACCACCGACTGGAATATCGGTTGGACATACACAATAAAAATCAATATTGCCATTGAGTGCTATACATCGGCCATTATTAAGGCATGGATTGGGATTACAAACTAAATATATAAATCATCAAAACAACGATATCTCGAATGTCATGATTAGATTTATGAAAGACTCGACTTTTAGTGGATTGGTGAAAGTTAAGCACAGGAAAAGTCAGCACGTACGAGTTCAGCACAAGATCAATTCAGCACAGGAAGAATAAGCACATGTATTCATCAGCACCAAAATTAAATACTAATAAATTTTAATCATAGGATTTTTTCAAATAATAAGAAAAATAAGAATAATTCGAAATTTAAAACAAAAATTATTTCGGCTTCAATTTGTAGTTGTTTATCTAGTTCTTTTATAATAAAATAAATAATGAATTTCTACTAGAGCTTTCGACTCAATACAGTGGAGTCATTTTCAATATAAAAATAGTTGATTTCATCTTGTTGAATGTGTTGTTGAGTTCATCAACTACAAATTGAAGTCGAAATAACTTTTGGTTTTAAATTTCGAATTATTCTTATTTTTCTTATTATTTGAAAAAATCCTATGATTAAAATTTATTAGTATTTAATTTTGGTGCTGATGAATAAATGTGCTTATTCTTCCTGTGCTGAATTGATCTTGTGCTGAACTTTTACGTGCAGATTATTCCGTGTTGATCTATCCGTACTGATTTTTCCCGTGCTTAAATTGCCTGTTCCCACTTTGAGTCGGGTATAGAACAGTCTTATAAAATTTCCAGAATCAAAAGCAGTTCGACTAATCAACGAGTTCATCGACGCATTTTTCACAAGCGCTGGTTACACCAGTAGATAAAAACGAAAATTTTCAGATTAGAGTAATGCTCCCAATTGCAACCTGCTGAAAATTAACAAATAGAAATTTTTATAAAGTGCTACCGTTACTAAAAATCGAAGAGAAAGGACACCCTTTTAAATTGCCCATGTCTCAATTTTTAGGACTTGCTAGAAAAATTCAAAATATATTCTAAAAAAAGTATATCTACATCAATTACTTACTATTTCCTTGTCCAGAAACGATAGATATCGTTAATAGAACAACCGAAACAGCAAACACAAGTCTGCACAGCATTTTGCAATTTAATTAAATATCCTTTTAAAATCAAACGTTTATATTTATATATGTTAACAATTTGGCAACAAAAACGAAACTAACCGCGTATCGTCAAAACTAGAGTGAGAGAAAATACCTCCGAACTTAAAAGCATATTTAATCTCTATCATATCAAATTTCCATAATTGTAAAAATGAAAGCAACAATAAAAATTCAATTACATTCACCATGTATATAATCATGAAAGATATATCATAGAAAAGAAAAAGGTAGTAACAAAAACAGAATCAATCGCATCTTATATATTCAGTAACTCATCCCGAAACCAGAGTGTGAAAGACAAATTACAATTCGATATATGGCATAATTCAATTGATGTTCTTACACTCAAGAAGATGTATAAATTATTTCAAAGATCAATACATCAAGATGTCAATTTGCTTTCTTTAATTGTATTTGTACACAAGAACATGTTTCATGGAAGCTTTTTTTCCAGTAAAACAAAAACCTAAATTCATATCATAATAATTAATCAAAATTTTTAATCAACTTGTCAAGTATAAATAAATATTTTTCTTTTTATAAAGTCAACAGAGAAATTTTCTTTCTTTCTTTCTTTCTTTCTTTCAAAACGAATATCGACATATTTAACAAAGTACTAGATATAATCAAGAGAGACAAAAAAGAAGAATGAATGAATAGCAATCAACAGCAACCTTCGACATGCTTTCTCATCGCTTTCGTCATTGTCTAGCTCATTTTCGCCTTTTTCCACTTGCCGCAGTGTATATGTATGTGTGCGGCACTCGCATATTAGAGATGTCTATCTATTTGTGTGCCCGGTATATGTGTGCGCACAAGGGGTGTCGACACGTCGTCAGAGGGATGATCGATCGATGTATTGCTCACCACCGTGTGAGTACTGTTCACTTCAGTGATTATAGTCAGTGTGCGCAATGGTTTTACTCGTAGATGTATGCGCTTCTTCTCTTTGAATCTCAAGAGACTCACAAATATGTGCATAGTTAAAGAAAGAAAAAAAGAAGTCAAGCAATTCGATCGTGATTTTTTCTTCTTCTTCTCCTCTGTGGTCACAAATCACTGACTGTCTTGATGATAGGAGAGACGAAGAACAAGAATCGACTATATTGCCGACAGGATCTGAAAATTAAAATAAAATAAAAACATCAGAGAATGACAATATTCGCGTCGGTATTTATTTTATATTTATCGATTAGTAAGAAATAGAAAACATCACAATTCCCCCACGAATAGAAATGCATGTCAATGCATATCTAAATATTCTCTGGAAAAGTTATCTCTCGTGTTAATATACTGCCATCGAAAAATAAAGTATCGTATCATTTACAACAAGTGTATACTAATGACTTTTGTATATTAGTAGCATAACTACTGGAATAGTTTACTTCCTACAAGAGAGAGAGAGAGAGAGAGAGAGAGAGATGTGACTAAAGTGTTTTTTCGTTCCTGCGCTACAACTTTTTTCTGCCGACTCTACAAGTACAAAGATGATCCTCTTTGGAAATAAAAATTTCTCTATTAATCAATATTCTACTATAACACATTTTTATTATCCAACATGAATGTGCGATATTCTTTTCTTTCGAGTTACATATAACATATAAATAGTACTTGAGAGAAAAATCTAAAGGCAGAAAGAACGCGATGGCAAAACGAGAGAGAGAGAGAGAGAAAAATCCGAATTCCCTTTCCGTTATCTCCTATATATATAAATAATTTCATTCGTTGTTGATCGGAAGTATTTTGGATCAATGGGAATTTTTTGCCTTTCGGTAATCGAGAATGTTGACCAACACAACATCAAGACGCGAAGAAAATGGAGCAAGAGAAAAGAAAAGAAAAGAAAAAACTTGCATCGATAGACCAACGAAGAGAAGAAGAAAAGAAGTACTATAACCCCTACACGATCAATCTCATATTTCACAACAAATGAAAGAAGAATATCATTTGTATTTCTTCTTTTTTTGTTTTGACTAAAAAGAGAAAGGAAAAACATGTTGTATTTATTTTTCTTAGTATTTAGATTGATGAGTCCATTGTATTAATTTCGACAGATCTTCTGAAAATACTTCGACAACTTCTATTTGAATACAAAAAAAGAAGAAGAAGAAGAAGAGAACTGCAGAACGAATAAAATTGAAAAAAAAAGAAGAAGAGCAAACAGAAGAAAAAAACACATCAATCTCCATCATCATCTATCATGATGAATCGATACCAACACCAACACCTACAAACACATAATTCGAATACAATTCTTCAATCAAATCATCACTATCACTTAACTAATAGTACAACAACAACAACAATGTCTGTTCTACAGACGCCAATTGATACTTATTCATCCAATAACAATTCAATTCTTGATATTCATCAACAAAATCATTACAGTTTACTTGATGATAATTATGCATACAATCCGCCACCTTCCTATTGTATTAAACATCATCCTATCTATCGTTCTCCAACTATTTGTACATTAGAATCCCAACCATCAGTTTATGAAACATATAATTCATCTCCATCGTCATCTTCAACAGCAACAGCAGTAGCAACAACAACAACAACACCGAATATTCCAGTAAATACTTATGAACAATTTTGCATTGACAATGCTCAAACATCGCCATCGCCATCATCTTGGATAGCAACAACGCCAACAACAGCAAACGAAGGATCACTATATCATCCAATTCAATCGTTTGATCAATGTAACATTTATTTAAATAATTCTCAATTATCTGAACAAAACTATCGAGATTATCTATCGATTCCATTATCTAATAATGAAACATCCTCATCGTCATCGATATCATCGTCGTCATCCTCATTTAATAATCTTTCACATCCACAACCATATCGACATCATGAACAGTCATCTATGGACGAAAAACCTCTGTCTATTGTTGCTAGTGAAGCTAAATATAAATGGATGCAAATAAAACGTACACCAGCGAAAACAGCAGGTAAAATTTCTATTTATATATTTCTCGAACATATGTTTCGATTTTTAATCTTGATAAAAACAAAAAAGAAGAATAGACAAAAAAATAATACTAGTGTATTCGTCCTGAAATGTATTCCATCAGATATAACAAAAAAAGATAAATAGTATTTTGCACATACACAGGTGTCCAACAAATAGATGAACAAGAATTTCTGTTTTTTTTTTGCCCCGCTCTGCTCGATTCGACTTGTTTAATTCATCGGCTACACTGCCGAACGTCAAGTCACGATAGATGATCGATATAGTTATCTATAGGAATCGATCATCGCCTTGATTAAAAATTATGCCATTTATAGTTAAAAAAATAAAGATCAAAATGCCATCTATCATCACGGATTTTCTGTTTCAATGATGCTGTAATACATACTGATAAAAAAAAACTGTACATATGTTTATTTGAAGGAAAACCGACTGATTATAATTATAATAGTGGTACATCACTCGCGAATGGTTCATCAACGAATTCAATCGTAAATAATAATTTACCTGCAAATGCTGGTCGCACTAATTTTACAAATAAACAATTGACAGTAAGAAAAAGAAGAAATTATAAAAAAAAAACTCATTTTCATACCTATTTTTTTTAGGAATTAGAGAAAGAATTTCATTTTAGTCGTTATCTAACACGTGCAAGACGTATTGAAATAGCAGCATCACTTCAATTAAATGAAACACAAGTGAAAGTAAGTCTTATCAAACTAAATTTTAGATATCATTTTCCTAAAATAAAACTACTTCAGATTTGGTTTCAAAATCGTCGTATGAAAGCAAAAAAACGGCAACGTGAACGTTAGTATCGAAATAATTGTACTCCTTGTTTTGAATTTGTTTTTTTTCTTCTTTTCTCATAGCCGATATTCTTCCATTTGATTCCATGTGAATTTATTCATGTACAAAAAGCAGTATTCTATCTGGATAGATATGTTGTTGTCTAGAAAGTTCTTTTTTTTTGTCTCAATTTTCATTGTGTCATTCTTGTTGTTGTTGTTGTTGTTGTTGTTGTTGTTGTTGTTGCTTTCATTCAATCGTTGTATTAAACGAATCTATCTATGAACAAAATTTGATTGATTCGTTTTGCATCAATAACTATTCAATTTTCTATAGTGTCGTATTTTATTGATTTGTTTTAATGCCTGAAGCAAAGATTAACAAGGTTTTCGAGGTGATACATCACTCAATAAAACCTAGTGATAAGATTAAACACGGATATACATATTTATAAGAAATAGAAAGTTCAATCGGAAAGTTATTGCACGACATCACAATGATGATTCAAGCGAATATTCTCATTCACTCATCAAAAAACAACAATACAAAAGTTAATTCGATTACGTTCTGTAGTTTTGTTTTTGTCAATGTCGGCAATGCTTGTTTAGTTGACCACCTTTTCGTCTATGATATATCTATAGGGAGAGATCGATTAAACTTATTGTGATTTTTATATGTAAATTCATATATATAGAGAGAGAGAGACCGCTTAGGGAATGCATGCAAGCAGCAATGTGTGAAATTGAGTGAATCGGATGGACAAGCGAAGCAAAGGGAGGAGAGACACAAGCAAGAAAAAGCGAGAAGATCAAACGACTTATATACATATAGAGACAAGTCAACAAAACGAAGACAAGAGTCATCTTTAAACTATTCATTTAAGATGAATATTATCAGACAGACAGACGAAGACGGATATGCTCTACTTCCGGATAACAAAAACATCAATCAAAATGTAAGAGTTTTCTCATGAAGAAAAAACTATTCACTTCGCACATTACTATCTTATAGCAAATTGATTATTTTTTAACGGCAATAAATTTTAAGAAAGATACATTTTCTTTGTCCATAAGCAATATGAAAATTGTTTCTGTTATAGCGCGATGCCTTGTATTGCAAAACTTAAAACGTTCATTTTCAATTATTCTTTATTGAAAAAAAAATGTTCTCGAATGTTCATTGGCTGAGTTGAGTCGATGTTATGATTCGGCTTCACTTGTCAACGATTATTGTGAAAACAAACCAATTGAATGCGAAAAACAACCATTAACGTGTTATTCACAACTATGCATTGTGATGTATGAGCATTTAATTATCAGGGTTTGCCATAATCCATTCAATACGATAAATTCGTAAAAAAAGGTCTCGTTGATATTTCAGATGGCAAAGAGAAAATTTTCTTCCTTGAAAAATTATAGGAGCAATCAAGTGCTGTTAATACCAAGGATAACTCGAAATAGAGTTATGCGTGTACTGCATAGGACGAGCTTGAGGGTGTTAATATTATGTCAACGTGCTTTACTTATCGGAATACTAATGGTGCGTACGAGGGAAGTTCATGAATGTGACTCAGGGATTTCAACGAAACCTACATAGGTTTGTCAAGTCTAGTGTTGGTATCTCATCTCTTGAAAAAATAGCGGTCCAGACTGAACTTTTGTCTCGAACCTTGAGGACGATCACAGACTTTCTTTTGACTGAAACAAATTCGCAAAAAGAAGTTTGAAATAATTGATGATTCAATTCATTTGTTTGCCGTTGATATATAAATATCAGTTAAATATAATTTTGATGATGCTCCCAAACGAACTCGCTTCTTAGTACTAATTTAAAAGGAAAAAAATCTACTTTTATGGATCAACTCTTATACTGCATACATCAGCGTAATCCTTCATCGAATAGAACATTGAATTCTACATTGGATTGACGATCAATGATACAAGGGCTGAAAATCCTGCTGTACTAATTATTTCATAGAGAACCGTATGTTTTGAGTTCCTAAAATATTTTTCATGTAAGAACTTTCGAGAATATTATTATTCAGAAATTATTTCTACGTTTTAAACTAATGCTCCACAGATTCCGATCATCAAAGTACAGTGTAAGTTGAAAATAGTCGCATATTTGGAATCAGTGTCAAAAAATGAACCCGAATAGTCGATCTTTCAAATTTCCTTTTGCGAGTTTGTTTCAGCCAGAAGAAAGTCTGTCGATCCCCCTCAGGGTCCAAGACAAAAGCTATTTTTACTTCAAATTTTCACCGGTTCGGTCTGGACCACTAATTTTTCTATAGATGAGATATCAGAACTAGACTGAGCAGGCCTATTGGGGGGACCCACGTTAAATGTCCGTCTCAGTGTTTTTTCAATAGCTTCATCATTTTCATTTTCTAGGTCTTAGTTTTTTTCAATAGATTCACCATTCAATTCTTCACAAGGTTGATACTACAAGTTTTTCTGTTGAAAGTTGAGGAAAAAATTAAAAAAAGAATATTCAACAAGTATAGCAGCATCAACTTTCAAAGCTAGAAAATACTTTTTGCAGATTTTTCGTTGGCCAGTGACGATAAAAATTAAACAATGTAGTTATTTTGTAGCCTTTGAAAAGCTCTATCTTCCGATCATAATTGAGAAGTTTCCACATTCAACCTTGTAATGCGCACTCTAAGTATCTTCTCTTTCAGATTTGCGAGAGAATTTAGCTCTTTCAATCTGCAATTTCGATACTCCTAGGAAAAGAAGCGCAGCTAAGCCAAAATATCATTTTTTGTATTCGTTTTTTCTATTTTGATCGGAATGGCCTACTGTACCAAAGTCAAACGGGAAATTTGAGTTTTAACTTTTTTAAAATTCAACTAGCGCCAAAATATCTGATTTAAGCTATTTTGAAGAGAATTTTCAAAAAGCCAGATTTTTCGATCTTCCGCTTGATTTCGACGAGATCTGAGCTGCATTTCAAATTACTCAGTAACATCTTTGCTTCTGTTTCGTTTTGTACGCCATTGTAAAGAATTTGCAAAAGTTTGTTTTAAAAATCACTTTGAAAGTTGATGCTGTTATACATGTTGTGTATTCTTTTTTTTGTTTTGTTCCTCAACTTTCAACAGAAAAAAGTGTAGTATCAATCTTGTAGAGAATTGAATGGCAAATCTTTTGGGAAGAAACTAACGCCTAGAAAATGAAAATGATGAAGTTATTGAAAAAACACTGAGAGGGACATTTAACCTGAGCCACCCGATATGTAGGTCTCGTTGAAATCCCTGATTCGTACTCAGGACCCTTTCCTCGTTAGAACCATGCTGATAAGCATCGCAAATGTGATTCATGATAGTGTAATTTACTATATCTCAACTAGTATATTTGCCTTGCAAACTCCAATGTTGCGATAGAAAAAAAAACGCATTAAGGGTATATTTAGAAATATGACAGATGTTCAATTTTCTATTTGCAAGTACTGCATTCAGTGAATTTACCGTAAATATCTAACAATTTCTTTTGCTGTACTGCATGACTTGTGAAAAAGTATCAGTCATTTTTTCTGCAATAGTACTTAACATAGTGGGAGACAAAAACAAATTCGCCTAGTATGAATTCTCTATCTAAGCGGGTTACTTTAAAATGGGAAACGGCTTTACCGTAAGGAATTTTCTCATTTTTATAGAATTATTTAATTTTGAAGCTGATTATTGTTATCTTTGTCTTAATTAGGTCTATTACGGCTTGTCCACGTAACGCGCTACTTCGCTGATCAGGTTTTAAAAAACGTTTTTTTCGATATAGACAGATCTGAGCGTGTTTTCTGGTACAGGTTTTTACGCTGATTATGAATTTGGACTTTCTTTCTGAAAACAATTGAGTTTTTTGGCATCGAAAACCGCGTTTTAAAATTTTCTCGACAATCGTATTTTCAATTTTCTAACCAAGAAATTTAAAACAAAAATGCAGACTAATATACTATCCGATGCAGAATTTGATTCTCTACAAAATGGTCTGTTTAGTTTTTACTCTCATTCCTCAAGACAACTTCTAAGCTCTTGTACAGTTTCTAACTTACTGTACAATTATTGAGCTCCTGTTTCAATGTAGCAACTTGATTTCTTTTACAGAAGGATATATGTACGGCAGTGATCAATATATATAAGCATTAAATATTTTTAAGCATGTTATGTGCTTCAAATTTGGTCGACAAGAAAACGCGTCACAGCGTTAGGTTTGTTTTTTGCATTTTTTATCTGAGCGAAAATAGTTTTATAAGCAGCCCTAGAGACAAGGATCCTTTTTTGTCACAGTGTTAAGCGATGATAAAACCTTTTTAGAAACGTGAGAGTTCAGTCAAACTAGGTCATTTTTGCAGCATAAATAGATTATGATGAGCTGCGTTGAATGATGTTTGAACGACCTTGTTAGCTCTAATGCCTTTCGAGATAATTGCAAAAAAATTTACCAAAATGTTACTGCGTTACGTTTGGATAAGTCGATTACGTGTTTGTCATGATGAAAGCAAAGTTCATTAAAACCTCAAAAGACGAATTTGCAGACGCCCATAAAATTGTTACTGACAAAAGACCTTCTAGTCACTAAGATATTTTTTTCAGTTGTGTATCTATTACAGAACAAATTACTTTGCGAACGAAACCTTTCAAGAGTCGTAACTACATCTCATATAGACAATTAGTATTATCTTGGAAGTAGATCGTGCATTTGCCTAGATAAAAAAAAAGACTTGAGGCTCCGTCGTAGATAAAAAATTTCCACTTTTTTCTGCGGGACAACAAACCATGGAAAATTGTTTTGTCGTAATTGAAAAATGATGTTTCTTCAGTGTTAATAATAAATTATTTTTGGCATATTTACTAAATCGACGCATATAGTGCGAAACAGAAATATTACGCCATCAATTTTACCAATATAAATATGCATCTAAAGAATGATTTGAATCCATCTCTATAATATCAAATTGAGTTTTAGAACAAGGTAATTTATTGAATGTTCTTTTTTATAATATAGCATAGCAGTAAACATTCAAACAAATTTAGGAACATATGAAGATAATAAAAAATTCTAACCATTTAATTTTTGTGACTTTCATAGAAGAATATCAGATAAAAGCATGACCAGTCATTTCAGTTCTACGTGACGCATAGAATTTCTATGTAATCAGTATAACAACGATATAGAATTACAATAGATATTCTTCGAATTTTTTATTCTACTTTTCTTTTTATTAATATCATGAATACAGAATGTAAATAAATACTACATTCGTGGCTATTGCAATAATAATCAACACGGTTCCAATGTCAAAGTCACCTCTCAAATTCATGTCCAATTAAAGCAGACTGTAAATGGAGTTTCAAGGATAGTTCGCATCTCTTCGATAGGAAAATTACCTTAATTTAAGATGTAATTATGCTTCACAATGCATGAAATATGGTAAACTGAAAGGCAAGGGGAAAAGGCGGATTTTGAAAATCTCAAATTCCCAAAATCCCAAAATTGAAAAGCATTTTCCCCTCTGTGAATGACGTAGTTTCGACCTGAAATTCTTCCCATATATAGGTTTCATAGTTCCTAAAAGTTTCAACTCGAACAAATGTTTTCTTTTTAAAATATTGAATTTTCAAAAAAAAACCACATTTTCTGACCATGTCGTGAGATGAGCATTTCTTGCGCATTCATTATCTTGAGAAGGAAACATTCGTTTGCGCTGAAAATTTTAGAACGTTCTAAGGATCATGAGACCTACATATAGAAAAAAGTTCAGATGGAAATTCCATCATTCACGTTTTGGATTTTTGGATTTTCAAAATTCCAAATCTGCCTTTTCCCCTTGCTGAAAGATTTCTTGTTTTTCTTAGCTCGAAAGTTGTTTTGACACTAAATCCGATTATAATTATATACAGCTTTGAGAATGCAAAGTAATCAAAGCAATCAAATCGTCAAATATTTCTTTGTAGACAGGTATATCAATTTTTATGTCATTTTCTTAATTATATTGTTGTCCAGCATTGATATTATTTTTATGGACGAGCTACTATTATATCAAAATTTGCAAGTCAAGCAAAATATCATTGCTTATTTTCTTTTGGCGTTCAATATTTTTAGAATGAGTCGCATTTTACGCACAAAGTATTAGCCAGAAAAGTTTCTATAAAAAGGATGTAAACTCACATGCCTACATCTATTTCTCATGACCAAAAAAAAAAGAGAAACATTTGTAAAATGTGTACTACGTAATTATACGAGACTGTAATATGCAAGAGGAGAAAAGCGACTCCTGGATCCTTCGATTCTATGGATCCTGGTCATACATCGCAGCGTTTGTCAGGATTCCAGCGAAAAAATTATTTACAAAGGACGTCCCGCTCTAGATTTATCATGACACTGCGATGTATGATTCTGGTGGATTCTATGGATCCTGGTGGAATATGTGGCTCCTGGTGGATTCTAGACTCCATCAGGAGTCGCTTTCCCCCTTGGTAATATGCGTTTTATCTGAAAAGCTTTTCAGCGCAGCATCGTTGGTGCTAAAATGTGGAACTCACATATTTCGGTGTTTAGTGGTTTCACTGAGAAATATTGTGAATGATAATAGTTTAAACAGTATTTAGGATATAGCTATCAATATTGTTGAGAAATTGATACATTTTTTCATAAACGAAAACTTGCTAAAAGCTTCTCAGTGGATGGAAAAGTTGCGAATTGTAAATACACTAAAGTGGATTCAAGCTCTAGAATAAGTTATTTGTGGGAGAAAAAATAGACGAAAATCTTCATCTGTTTATTATAGGTGGTGGAAGTAACGAGTGTAATAGTAGCATAAACTGGTTGCTAGCGTCTGTAGCGGTAGCATGCACTCGTTGCTAACGTCTGTAATAATAAAAATATATAATACTGTCGTAACTATGGGCTATAATAATAAGAACGACAGATTTTGATGATGAATTAGAGATTAAATCCTCATTATACTGGCTTCTGATCAGTGCATCTAAGTGTTAAGTTTTTAATATTTTATCTCTGTAGTGAAGAGGGGGTGGATGGGTGGGTGGGGTACAGGGGAGCCGCAAAAACCTAACAATTCAACTTACACTCGCTATTTTCTTCGAAAATATATGTGAGTCCCACAAAATAAGTAGTATTAGAATGATAAATATATTGTTTAGCAGTTTTTCCATTTACTAATTAATCGAAAGCGAAGTCAATAACCGATTTGCAGTATAATTTTAAATACGTCTTTCTTTTAAGGTTAGTTTTTTCTCCATATGACTTGTCCTCGATTGCCTCTTATGTTTATGTGGTAACCGAAGCTGTCGAGGGCGACTTTACATCATTTCAAAAGACCCTATCAAATATAAAAATACCTCGAAGATATTTTTATTAAGAAAAGCTGCTTTTCCAAATGTACTTGAAGGATGTTCTTGATAGAAATCATGAATACAATGCAGGATCAAGACACCAAGCATATATCAATTACAGCATGCAGCTAATGCATCGATAAAACAAAATGGAAAATAGTTTTTCCGAAAATATATGATTTTGACACATTAAAAAAGTTTTTGTCCAAAAATTCAACACGGGATATTTTGTTTGGTTTTTTTTCAGAGTAAAATATGTTTTTCTTAATTTTGATGCAATGTCAAAAGAAAAATTCGAATCTGAACATTGTTTTAATAGATCCTTGTATTGTTAATTAATTCAAGTTTTTCTAGCATGTCATCTGTTAAACTAAATAATTGCATGCTTCGAAGAACGTTGTCAAACATCCTTAACAATTTAGAAATGTCATAGAAAAAACCTAGTCTCGCTACCTTTTCAATTTTCCTGAAGCATCAATTACCTGATAGGATTTTTTTCTCATCTCATTTGATAACAACTAGATTAGCCTTTTATAATTACTAACTTACAAAATTCAATTTTTACTCTATTTATAGTTTTTAAGAGGCAAAACAAAATTTGACTTCATTGGCAGTTTCTTTTTATAGCATCAATAATTATATTATCTCGATTGTTAACAAGCGTGTGATAAGGAGTGGCATAGACAAAAAGAAAAAAAAAGAGCACCACGACTGAACGTTAGATAATCTTACGGCAACATTCAAGCAAAACAACATATTATTCTTTTTGAATTCAACAAGTTCTACTCTTTGTCTTTTATCCCTTTAGAAAATAAAAGAATGACAGATGTGCATGTGTAAGAATTATCTTTTTCTTTTGATAATACTAATGGCCAATTGAATTAACGAAAAACGGAAGAAAAATAGAGGTCTTGAAAATTTCTCAAGTTGAAACGGGATTTATTTTTATTCGTGCATGACTTGGAACAAGGACGCTTGGATTAGAAGCAAATATTATATTTTTCAGCATTATTCATTTAGTAATATTCATCATTTTCTTTTCTGTAAAGTGAAAAAAGACTAGTTGATTTGAGTGTTTTTCCTTTCGAAACAAAGACTATGGATGAGAACAAGCATGTCGAAATGCACGTGTTCTGCATGGAATTTTTCGGTTTTGAGGAAAGAAATGTATTCGTAAATCTATCATGCTGAATATTCTGCAAGGTTCTTTTCTATCATTAAAAAGATGCATTCAAGTAAAAATAATCGAATCAAGCGAGACATAAGAAAATCTTTTACGTCAGTCGATTTCTTTTTTTTTCTAATCTGTATTCAGCATTATTAATATATTCGAAAGACATGAGAACTTTTGAATCATACAAAAAAACGTCTTTTTTCCCATTGAAAATTCTTAGCGGATTACAATACAACAAAAAAGACTCCACCATTCAATTGAAATTCTTCAGGAAATGCGTGCTTGTTGTCATTCTTGTATATAGATAGGAAAAAGCGATAGTGATGGTATTTCAAGTAATATGATGATATTAGAGAGAGAGAGAAAAAAAAAGAACTACAAGATAGTTATTATTGAGAACTATAACTAAACATGTTCTTCCTTTTGTTCGATATAATAGAATACCTAATGCTATAAAAATAGACGAAGATGTCTGCAACTGTCATTTTTTTCTGTTCCTTCGTCTCTTTGTCTTAAATCAAATAATATTGAAGGTCTATATTCTTTAACACTTATTTTGCTTTTCTTCTTTTTTTGCTGTTGTGTGATTCCGTTTATTAACTAATAGAAGACTACACAGTAGTAGCGACTCGTTTTTTTCTCGTTTTCTACCTTACGACAGAGCGCACATAACATACGGCAGACGAATCTTGTCATCTGCTCTTTCCTGACTGCTAGTTTTCTTCGTCTAGTATTTTTTCTGCAGGAATTTTCTCGCTACTCTTTTTTTCTTAATAGATATACAAAAAGAAAAAAACGAGAAAAAAAAAGAAAGGCTTAAGTTGAAGATGAGTAGTGGTAGACAAACAGCAAAACTAATTGTATAATCATTTCAAAAGAAAACAACAGCAAGAAAAGCTATGATGTTCTTATTTGACAAAACAAATCACGGCGCAGCAATACACATATCGTCCGATGGTCTCAGCGCACAACGTACAAATGGTTTTGGCAATGGCATTGCCTTTATTAACCGTCCAATGAATGAATTCGAAAAAGTTACATTCGAATTACATCAACAATCATCACCCATATGGCAAGGATCACTACGTCTCGGTCTCTATGCTGGCCATCAAATCCCAACCGATGATCTTCCATTATCAACGATGGAATCAAGTTTGAATCATTTTTATACAATGGTATCACTAGAAAAATATGTTCGTTTATATAATGGAATTCGTTTAACTGTATGGCTAACACAAAATCATTGTTTAAATTATGCAATTAATCATGTACTATGTGGAACTCTAATGGATAGTAGTCAATTTGTTGAAAATAATAATAATGGACTTCTTCCTCTTCGACTTATTTTTGATCTGTTTGGCAATACAGTCAAACTACAACTTATACGAGACGGTAGCTAAACTGTTTTTTTTTCTATTACAAAGCGATAACTTCTTTTTCTCCATAGATGATGTTGTTCCATATGAAATCAAAGCTCGAGGCTCTGATGCTATTCGACACTTTCAAACAGCTTGCGATACCGGCACAACAACAGTACGGCGTAGTTTACTTTTAATGGTTGGCCCGAAAGCAAGTGGAAAAACTCGACTTCAACAAACGCTCGTAACAAATAATAACATAACCGATATGTAAATAGAGGTCGCATTCATTGTTTCAGTATTGTAAAAGAAATAGTTCTAACATTTTAGTGATAGTTTATCAACAGATCTTTCATCGTCATGTTCAATAAATATTGACCAAAAACATTCTTGGTCATTATCAAAACCAAATTATGTTCATCATAGTTCATTATCAGCTATTATGCAAGATTTTGGTGAGGAATCATTTTCTTTTTCTTCTACCCAATTACTGAATTTAATTCGTTCCATTTTAATAATTAGATGAGCATGAAATATCTAAATCTACAATTCAACAACAAGAATATGAATCCCATTTAGTACATAATATTATTGTTAATCTGCTAAAACGGCGCTATGAAGTGCATACAGTACATGAAAAAAAGGATAAAGTCTGTCCCACTGAACACTTTCTTTGTTTCTCTTAAATAGATCTTTTTATTCTTGATATAGAATTGGAAAGAAACTCTACTTGATGATCTTAGACTTGTGTATCCTAGTCCAATGATTCCTCTATCGATACGGCCATTAGTAGAGAAAACATTATCACAAATGAAATCGTCTGATCCACATGCTGTACTTGCCAATCTGTTGAGCAACAATGGAAATCTTAAAGAAAAAAAAATAGAAGAATGCCAACGTTTACGTCTCGATCTTTGGGATATGCCTGGTTCGGCGTCATCCTCTGGAATAACACATCAGGTTTTTATCACGAATAAATAGACTTCAACAAAAAAAAACTAATCCTAAGTACTTTGTTTTCAATTTTTAAAAATAGGTTTTTCTATCGGCGAGAGCAATTTATTTACTCGTATTTGATTTAACTAAAGATCTCGATCAACCAGCCGATTGGAATATGGTAATTATCATCATATGATTTATTCATTAGTCCGAGAATCTTATTTAATATTAATAGAAAAAGAAGCGAATACTTGAAAGTAGTACATAGCTCCCCTGTCTTGAGCTGGTAATGAATTGTTTCTCTCACGACAGCCTATGATTATTTTCCTTCTTGTGTTTCTGTTCCTGTTCACCTCTTCCTTATTTGTCTATGTGACAAAAACAAAATACTCGTTTACCTTTGCGGGTGTCGTATTCAATATGATCAACTATGCGTTTCTTTGATTTTAGGAATTGACAAACTTGGATCATTTGAGTTTTATAATGCATTCTGTTTATTGTTATTCGGCTAATATAAATCAAGGACGAGTACACGATGAAGATTTAAATATTCATCGTTTATCACCGCCGATTATTATTGTTGGTACTCATCGAAATTCATTTTCACAGTCAACAAAAACAATTGATGTTAGTCGTTTTAATATTTTTATTTGAAATTAATATAGTTAACAAAATATTTTAGATCGAAAATAAAATGGCCCAAATTCGTGCGATGATTTCAACAAAACCCTATTGCAAACATATTGTTGAACCGTATTTTACCATCGATACACAATATCCGGATACTGTCGATCATGAACAGGTATTCAAGTCATGGGCATAGTTACGTGAAATCTCATTACTGTTTTTGTTTTTGTAGATAGAACAATTGAAAAAATTAATTGAAGAAGTCGCCCTCGCTGAACCTTACATGAACGAAGAAATTCCAACACGATGGCTTCAATTTGAAAATGATCTTAATCGATTAAAAACTCAGCAAGATAATTTTTATGCATCACTCGATCAAGTATAGCGAATCCTTTTATTTTAATTGTTTTAATATAAATCCATTGGCTTATCTAGATTTGTGAAATAGCTCGTACACAAAATATTTGTTCATCCGATGAATTGAAAACTCTGCTAGACTTTTATCACGACCTCGGCGTGATTGTTTATTTTGGTAATACACAAGATATGTTTTTAAAAAATACGCTTATTCTACGTCCACAAAAGTTATTTCAACTCATCAAGCGACTTGTCTGCAATGATAATACGGAAAATGAGAACGATGATGGTATCATTGATGAAAGGACATTTGAAAATCTTTGTCAGCCGTTTATCGAACAGAAACAAAGTATTTTAGCTTTACTGAAAAAATTTGATCTTTTGTGCGAGCGTCAATCGCCATCGCCAACAACAAAAATAACAACAACATGCAAACAATATTATGTACCTGGTTGTATACGAAGAATATATAATGAAAAACCGATAGCAGAAAAAGATGATCAATGTGTCGTTTTGTATTATTTGTTTGATGATTATTTTCCTGGTAAGATTTGTTTTTTCTTTTTTTAAAAGTGAAATTATTTAACTATATGAATTTTCCTATTGATAGAAAGTCTGTTTCATCAAATTCTTGTTCGAACGATAAAATGGACGCAATCAACAAATGTTCCACCACCTAAACTTTATTATCGGCGCGGAAAATTTATTCTCGACGACCAACATTTACTCATACTAACTGCTTTATCAATGAAATATGCTCGAATGAAAGTACAAATTATTCGTAATAATCCAAATATAACTAATACGACCACATCTAATACAGCAACTACTATGAACAGTAATAATAACAACAATAATAAAAATCAAGATGAAATTAATCCTCAATTAGCAGATCCAGCTATTGTAGCAAAGGTAAATCTCTTATAGAATATGATTAAATCAACATCTAAAAAATCGAATGATGGATTTTGAGGCACATGATCGCGTCTATTTCGACTAATTTTTTTCTCGCAAATAAAATCTAAAAAAAGAACTACAAAATACGCCATATAGTCATGGTAACCTCGGATGATACCCCCCACCCGTAGGTCTACCATTGGCATAATACCTCGTACGTTGAATTTATTTTTAGGTACGTAAATTTCTTGAATCATTACTTAATGAAATCAAATCAACGTGGATACGTCGACTCACATTCCAATGTAAAGTAATTTGTCCGTGTGGAAAAATATGTGATTTACATAAAACTCCATATTGCTCAAATAATTCATGTTTACATTTTCTTAATCTTGATCATTGTCTTTCAAATCCTGTAAGTGAATAGTTCGATTTTAATTTTATTTCTCCTGACTTCACGATACTGTGTTTCTTTTTAATAAAGATTGTTGAATGTTCATTTCGTCGCGTACCAACAAATCAATATCGTAGTTGGTTTCCAAAACTGACAACAACACGTGCTGTACCAATTATCGACATATTATACGATCAAAAGTCAATGAATCATTTTTTTGAAGATTCAAATTTACCCGGCTGGATACGTTCAACAGCTAAACTATTATCAACATCAGATATGAATATAAATCTGAATAAATCGTCAGGTGAAAATCGTGCGTGGGTTATATTGGCGAAAAAACTGGGCTATCAACAATCTGTTATTGATCAATTTTCATTGAGTCGAAATCCAAGTTTACAATTAATCACAGATTGGATTGTTCGTAGTGGCAATTCATCATTGGCTGTTGATATGTTATTTGCAACGATGAAACAGATTGGACGAGAATATTTGGTTGAAATTATATTACGAGAACGAGAAACGCAATATCCATTACCATCCGTGTTTATTAGTTATCAATGGGATATTCAAGATGAAGTGAAAGAATTACGAAATTTTCTAGAACTTGTCGGTTTTACTTGTTGGATGGATATGGGCCAAATTGGTGGCGGCGAATTACTCTATGAAAAAATTGACCATGGAATACGAAATGCTAAAGTAATTCAAATAGCGAAACTAGATAATTTTTATTATTTCATCGATTTTTCAATTTAGGTTTTAATCTGTTGTTTAACACCGATGTATATTGTTTCAAATATGTGTCAACGTGAATTAATTTTAGCTGATATGCTTAAAAAACCTATTGTACCAGTTATGTTTGAATCAACACCATGGCCACCACTTGGCGCAGCAAGTTTAATTCTTTCACAATTAACTTATGTAGATTTAAAGGGTAAGAATATTTGTGCTAAGACTTGACTTCGATTAATACTATTGATGATGTTGTTTAGGTGCTGGTGGGCACGGCGGTAGTGGTAAAGTATTGGATTTACAAGCTCGGTATAACGAAATAGCATCGATTGTTTCACGTCATACAACATCGTTATCACCGAGTACATTCCATCGATTGGTACATTCATCTTCACTCGATCAACGTAATTCAACTCATCCATCTTCAGCATTAACTGCGTTAGCGTCTGCTCGACACCTTAAACATTCAAGATCTAGTCGTCGTCAAAATGTAGAAGCATTGGATTCAAATGAAAGTTCCAATAGTAGTATGAGCGAAGAAAATTATGATTATGATTCTAATGAAATCGATGGTATTGATCATCATGCAAGACCCATCGAACCTGTTCTAACAGCTGCGACTGTTGCCCCGACTGTTGGCACATCTCTAAGTCAACCATTTCAAATACGTAGTTCTGTTCATTTGGAACATCGTCTTGGTCCAATGACGGTTTATAATCAGCAACCAAGTGTTGATAATCGTATTGCCAGTTGTGCCGTCTGTAGCATTCTGTGATTCGTTTTTTTGTTGTTGTTGTGGTTTTCTTCTTTTAAAAATTTTCTTTAAAAATTCATTTTGCTCAAGAAAACTGAAGCTATTCGTGATTTTTTACCTCCGTAAAATTATCTTTACAATTCGATTTATGATACAAGTATAAACTTGCATTGCATTACGAAAAGTATTCGGTCGTAAGAGTGCTGGCTTAGCATTTGTATTTAGAACATGCTAATACTTTTTGCATTAGTATTAAAATAATATATTAATACTTTTGCATTAGTATTAGGAGTATTAGTTAACACCTCGGTATTAGTATTTGAATAACTATTAACATAATACTAATGCCAATCGCCATTGTGTAGTCTTCTAATAAATATATCAATTTCGAGTTACTGACACATTCTATGCTTGCTAGCCTTCCAGTTGGTTGCGTCGGATGCAGAATTTTATGCTCTCTTGAATACCGCCACTTTTTGAAGGGGTCAACTAACAAAAAATGCGGGCTTTCCCCGAAAAACTGGGTTTTTCAACACATTTTGACAGTGATTCTTGCAAATATTCGCTTAAGTATCTGTATGGATCTTCTAGATGGTTCTGTTCTGTACAGAATTTCACGCTCTATCAACTGATGCCATCTTTGAGGGTGTCAGCTGAGAAAAAGTGGAGGTTTTGCTTGAAAAACCGGGTTTTCCACACATTTTGACAGTAAACCTTCCAAATATTCGCTTAAGTATCTGTACGGATCTTCTAGATGGTTCTGTTCTGTACAGAATTCCACGCTCTATTAACTGATGCCATCTATGAGGGTGTTAGCTGAGAAAACGTGGTGGTTTTGCCTGAAAAACTGGGTTTTTCAACACATTTTGACAGTAATTCGCACCAATATTCGTTTGAGTATTGATCCTGACCTTCTCAAGGGTTGTATCCGATGCAGCACTTTATCCTCTACTGAATGGCGCCACTTCCAAGCAGATAATCTGAGAAAAAGTGGAGATTCTTCCTGAAAAACCGTGGTTTTTCACACATTTTGGCAGTAATCCTTGCAAATATTCGCTTGAGCAATTGTGCGGATCTTCTAGATGGTTCTGTTCTGTACAGGATTTCGTGCTCTATTAAAAGATGGCATTTTTAAGAGGGTTATTAGATAAAAAGTGAAGGCTTTTTGTGAAAAATCTCGAAGTTTTGCAGATTCGAGTATTTCCTGAAGAGATTTACTCCAAACAACCTTGCGAAAAGAAGAAGCGATTTCTTAAGTAGAACTTGACGAGTCCTATAGTTGGTGGACTTTTGAGATGCATGGGATGTTCTGATGCAACAGCAAACTGCAAAATCCTGCAAGATTCCAGCGGTTTCAGTAAAAACCTCCACTTTTTGTCAGCTGACCCCCTCAAAAATGGCATCAGTTGATAGAGCGTGAAATTCTGTACAGAACAGAACCATCTAGAAGATCCATACAGATACTTAAGCGAATATTTGCAAGAATCACTGTCAAAATGTGTTGAAAAATCCAGTTTTTCGGGGAAAGCCCGCATTTTTTGTTAGTTGACCCCTTCAAAAAGTGGCGGTNCAATGGCGATTGGCATTAGTATTATGTTAATAGTTATTCAAATACTAATACCGAGGTGTTAACTAATACTCCTAATACTAATGCAAAAGTATTAATATATTATTTTAATACTAATGCAAAAAGCATTCAATTATGTGTTAAATTAATGCAATACTAATAGTAAGCCAGCACCCCTATTCGGTCGTAATCGTTGAAAGATAAGCGATTTTTCTTCTTTTTTTTTGTCATAGGGTGATATTACAAATTCAATCCCTATTGAATACTTTTAAGTAATGAGCTAAAAAAGATAGTCAACTGAATTTTTGTATGATATATTGATAACTGATGATACAATGCAGTGCCCAGCGACAACCCGATATATGGGAACATTTAATTGGGTAAGCTCACTAGAAGTACTTTCCGCATGAATCCGTTATGGAAAGTTGAAAAACTAACTAATCGAGTATTTCGATATAAGATTGGAGAGATCAAAATTAATGAATTTTCTCCGTTGATAGTTATATCACATAAATAAAATAAAATGTCGTTTGATGTTTAAACAAAGATTGAACATGGGTTTTTGAACTACGTGCGCTCAGCTAACAGGTTATATAATGAAGGCAAATGAGCATAGTTTAGTTGGCTCAAAATTGTCACTACGTTCATGTTTTTACAATAAAAGAGCTCGACGGAGTATATATGATACTGGTAATATTGATATTTTGAAATGAGATATTTTATCAGCAAATATGTATATTTGGTACTTTCAGGTTTTTATAGAATTGTCTAAGACAGAATTCACCTTCGCTAGTTTGTAATTATTGTGTTTCATGACATTTACTTTCTTAGAAGTTTCAATCATCGCCACAAAAGAGAAAATCTGAATAGGATAAGGAGTGCTTTAGAAAAACATGAATTATGTAACTGGCAATTTTAGATTAGTTTCTGATTGTGATACCCCCCGCAAGCACTAATTATATGCCTAGGGATCGTGTGCATGAAAAATTTAAAAGAAACATAATTTTAACGTAATGAGTATTTACTTTCAATGTTGCTTTTTAAGAACTTATTAGTAATCAACTAGGTGGATGTACGCAATAACGAATTTTGCTTGATGTTTAAATAGAAACATAAATTTACACTATCCACGTTCATCATCAAAAGTACTATTTTTGTATTTCTGAAGGCACAGATTGTCTGAATTTTCTAGCAAGTATATATTTATTATGATTGTAGAACTATGAAGGAAAAGGAAAATGGCATACAGAAATTTTCACTATTTTTGTTGTTTACAAAGCAGGAAATCGTGAAAATTAAATTTTAGAGTCGATATTATGATCAAATAAAAAGATAAATATAAATATTGATAAAATAATCTAAAACTTCATATGTTGAGACTCATGCAGATATAATATGCGAATGAATTTGATATAATTGAATTACAGCCGATGCATTTATAAATATTCACTAGCCTTGCGTGAGACAATAAATGAGATTTCGAGACAGAAAAAAAAAGAATCGGCAAGAACTATTTTTTCCTTCCAATACTGAATAATACACTTATAGACTGAAAAGTGGCAATCTTAGACGTAATCTCATTTGCAAGATATCCGTGAGATGAGTTGCAACCGATAAGATTTTTATTTTCTCTGTCGGTACACGAGCAAACCGAAACAATCAAAGCAGCAGATCGAGATAGTCAGTAGAGTGACATTGGTTATTCTTGATTGTCTGGATTTTATAATAGTCAACGAGTCATCATATCCTGCTATTAATCTTTACAGAAATCACTTAATGATAGGGTTTCATTACTTCAGTATTTTTCTCTATTGACACCTACCAATGAATAGATAAATTCATAGGAAAATGAATTTTATATAAACCTTGAAATATATTTCAGATGCGAACATCGCCGATTCATCATCTATCTAATCGGTGTAAAATATATTCTTTAAATAGTAGAAACTCAATGATAAATCGATAACAAACTATATTTGTTTATCGAATAGAATAATTTATTTGATTATAAATCCATGTATATATATATATATTGAAGATGGAAAAAAGGGAATAACGTTCCTATGCTGTAATTGTTTACAACTGTAGAATAGATTTTTTGAATATGCCAGAATGACTGAGAAGAAACGCAGATGTATTGTTATGACCCGATACATCTGAACAGTATCTCGTTCTCTGATGTTTCCTACGCTAATTACTTTTTACTATGAAAAGTATTCTATTGGAAGATAAGTATTCTCTATCATTTTAAAAATCTACTATAACGATCTCTATGAGGCTTTAGCTTTGAAACGCAATTTAACCCACTGTTGATAATCACAACAAGATTTCTTTATTCCGTCTATTTAGCCATACATTTCTTTTTCGCCCTTTCTATTTCATTCTCTAGAAAATAATGCAGATACGAAATCGACACGCTATGATATAGGGTCAGGGACACAGGAAGAGGCTCCACGAAACTTTCAACTCTATACAGAATGATTTCTTTGAGAAAAAATTTTCACAAAATGAAAATGGAGATATGCATCTCAATAGATACATTTGATAAATAACTATGCTTGATTGCCTTGAAGACTAACGCCCAAGGAGCTTTGCAATGCTTTACAAGGTCATTTCTTTTCATTTCTCACTAACATATGATTAGAGTTTGCACATTAAATAATGAAAGAACAAAATCAACATAAAAGAATCTAGCAGCGCTTGTCTTGCAATACAATATTGATCAAGTATTAAGTTGCAGCACAAGTATACCAGAGTATTTATAAAAATAAGCAGTTTATAATCTCAAGCAAGGTTTGAGTAAAGCATGGAGCAAAAGATAACGATTTTTTAAAGCTATCATCTAGTTTACACAAAGTCTCCTTTCAATATAGATCGGGGAGAGATATTTTAATGAAACAATAAGAAAATAATAATATGAATATCTTTTTTGATATGAATCACGGTGATTTACTATCACATGACATTGACTTATTTTTCTTTCCTTTTCAAACATTTGCACTACGGGTTTTTTTCCTTCTGACGCAATATTGCCCAATCAAGTAGTAATATTTTCTTCAAGTTTTGCTTTTTTGTTTATTTTGTGTACATTTTCATTTCGTATTGCTTTGCTTTGTAAATGACAGACACGGTAGAGAAACCACCTGATATTAATCAAATTGCGCATGATGATGATGATGATGATAGAATTGTTTCGTCGTTAGAGAAGCAAAAAGTTTTGAGCGATGATTTACCACCATTGGAAGTCGTTCGTGAAATGATCAAATATGAAACATTTTTACGTCTATCAAAACCTATTCAGGAACTTTTCGATTCCTATCGTACTGATGATAATGCTATAACGTAAGTCTATTGATTTCCATGATCATGTTGAACTCAGAAAAGCGAATAATTTTTTTTAAATAAATAGGATGGTACTCGATTTAATTCAACAACATGTTGTTGAACGTTTCGGATATTGTCACGTAAATGCATTACAAACAGCTATTTCACGTTTTCCCGACGATCCAATTATTAAAGAAGCATTCTATGGTACGTGTAGAATAAAATATATCAGTGTTTTTATTACAAAATATATATAAATTTTAAATGTAGTTAAACACAACAAAATCACTCAAGGTCTCGTCAACCAAGGTCAATGTGCGCTTGATGTTAAACTTTTTACTTTGGACGGACAGCCGACGACACTTTTCTCTTACATAACAGCTGAACAGCCATTAGTAGTATTGGCAGGTTCAACTACCTGACCTCCATTTCTGGCGTCTGTCGAGCGAATAAAGTAAATTATTTCTATATCATTCGTTTAGACTTCTTTCTAATTGTAAATTCGGATCGTTGTTTAGTCAATTGTTTCGCTCGCATGCGCCAGTTATGCGCTTGTTGACAATTTATATTGCCGAAGCGCATGCACGTGATCAATGGCCGGCTGGAAAAACAATCTCATGTGTTGATCAACCAAAAACACTAGAACAACGACTAGAAAACGCACGTCAATTCAAGATAAAATTCAACTATGAAATGCCAATGGTTGTTGATAGTATGGATAATACATTTCATAGAACTTATGGTTCATGGCCATTTCGTTTCTATGTAATCCACGATGGGAAATTAGTATTCAAAGCTGAGCCAGGAGAAACAACGTATGCTTATGATTGGGATGAATTAGACACATGGATTAACGATTTCTGTCGAGAAAAAAACCGATCAAACATCTTGACTTAGAAGCTTTTTGTTTTTCTCTCGTAATGAAATTCAGTTTTTTTTCGAACCAATGCGCTTTGTTTCTTTGCGTTGTAATCCGATTCTTCAATCTATTATGAGATATCTATGACGATTGTTGGACGAAAAACACGATGTGTTTGTCGACGATTTGAGAATATCATATTCATTCTCAAGAATAGATGAGATAAGTACAACGTTAAGAATCAGGTACATTTCGATTTGAAATATATTGAATTATACAATAAAAAAAAAGTAAATGCTGAAAAGCATCGCCTATAATCAAAGTTCTGTAATTGACTTGATTTACCGTTGTATTGGATGCAAATATTGCGTTCTATTAATATATGTATAAGGTCGGAAGAATTTAGCTTATCGACAGAAACGTAAAAAAACGCAATCGTACATTTTACCTTGAGGAATAATTAATACATTAAAAAACACATATATATATATATATCTATATATATACACGATTCGAAAATGATGCAACTACCATACAGTAATTACGGGAGAAGACTATATTAAAAGTTAGGTTTATCAATAAAGCATTTTAATATCATTAGACGTTTACACAAAAATTATTGCAGAACATGTTATTATATTACAGTTGTCATCGCCTTTATATTCTTTATCGAATAGTGTTCCTTCGAAAAATAACTAGACTAGACAGAATTCTTTACATGTCCATGAATTCATTCTCAACATTGTCTATAAAAGCCTTTTTCTAGTATAAATGCTTATCCGTTAATCTGATCACGTCATCAGCCAGTTTCTTACTGAGAATGTTGTCTAATCAATAATCCTTGTCCAGATTGCCTTTATATATATATATATATATATGTTGTGCTGTATATTTGACATTACTAACATTAACAATGTCATGAATATAAGAACAATAACAATAAGGGCACTCAAACAGTTTATTCATGATGTACGTAAAGAATAGAAGTTTGCATCACTGAAATCATCATAAGAAGAATTTTAACAGTCGCTCAAATATGAATAAAAGCAATAAAGTTCATCAGTGGTGTGCTGGAGTATTTTTTTTTCTTGCTGAAATAGCTTTTCTTGATTGAATACTAACGCTCTTTATAGACACTCAATGCCAAACAGAACAGATGGAACTAATCCTAAGAAATATTGATGAATCGTTGAACAGAATCACTCAAATTTTTGGATACATCCACTCACAAAACAACCGCCAGCTAGTAAGTAATAGCCCATATATATTAAATTTGCAAAAAAAGGTTTTCAACATAATTAAAACCTTTTCCATCATTTTTGAAATATGAACTCATATCATATGCATTTGAAATTTTTATGGTTTCTACTTATTTCACCGATTTTTATTTAATATGCAATCAAACCTTATAAATTAAAAATCATAAATTAACGTTCAACCGTTTGAGTTCAGAGTTCGCCTTGCTAAGGACACGTTTCTGCAATCATCTGCATTTATTTCACTGATTATGCTCAATATTATCGTTCAAATACCTAAAGTACATTGTACAAAAGGATTAGTCATTCGACATAAATATTTTACTACTCCGGCTAAAAATTCCGTGTTACACTAGAATTTAATCTATAATTGAGACGCTAATTGCATAAAACATTATGATATCTAATAGTACACGTAACAGCAATTTTCTAGCATAAAATTTCCAGAAAAATTTTGTCATCATACATTTGATCAGAAAATGCAAATGGCAGGAAAACGCTGTTTTTAACACACATGTTGTCAAGACATTTTATTCCATGATAGGTCATCACTTGTGTTGGCGTATGAAAACCAATTATGTCTCGTTTATGTGGAAACCATAGACAGCCAACATCTTTTTCTTCTTATCTGTCTATTAGTTTCCTTGATGTAAAAGCTGTAACTTATTAAAAGGATAAGTCCATAACATTTCAAATTAAATTATAATAAAATAAAATCCATTATTAAATCCTTGCTACCGTTCCGTTTCTCTTTTTCTTCTCCGTTCGTTTATTTTCTTTCCTAGTTTTCTTTTCTTTTTATCTTGCTGATCATTATTGATTGAATGGAAAAGGTCACAATCACAAAAATGAATTCCCTATTCTTTCTCTCGGTTTCTCCCTCCCTTGTGCACATAGTAATCACTATCGTACGTACATACGCATGCATGAAGGTATCGTGTTTTGTGCCGCCCAATTCAACTGATGATTGCGTAAAAGGAAAAAACTCCGCCAAAGAAAAGAAAAAACCGAAGGAATAAATATAAACAACGCAGAGACTCTTATATATCTCTAACACGACACGGTTCTGTTATTCGTTGGTTTATTGGTGTTGATTAAGCAAAACGACAGAGACAGAGAGAGAGAGAGAGAGAGAGAGCGTGCGCGTGAGAGGGCGGATGCTGAATTTGAGTACACCTTGGGCTATTCAAGGACATTCATACGTTGCTAATTGAGTTTGAGAATGTCGTCGGTAATGTATAGAGCAGAAAAGAAAAAAGTCAAAGCAAGAAAGATATTATAATTAACATTACACGAAATGTGAGATTCGAAATCAACATTATCATAATCGAAGAGAATATGTGTATCCTGGATGTTTTTGTATTATTTGATCACTGGCAGGGCTAATAAATGTTATTGCCAATGTAATGACAGTAACAATCAGATTTTCAAAAACTGGAACATTGTTTTTTCCTCTCTTATTTTTTTTCTTTTCTTCTTATTCTCTTTCTCTTTCTTTTCTTCTTCTTTTCACCATAACATCGAGGGACCAAATCATTCGCTCAATTTTCGAACCGCTTCCATGTCAGAAAATCTAAAAGTGGCAACGTAGATCCGAGAGCCCGTTCTTACTGTATGACTGAGTGTCAAATGATTTTGTTTTTCTGTTTATGTTTTTGTATGAGTATTCAGACAAAAACAAGTCACCTGTTCATTTAGCATTTTGCTTCGCATTACAGAATGAAAAAAAACACTTTGACTTGTTGTTGTTATTGTTTTTGTTGTTGTTGTTGCCCATAAAAATAGATTATAGACGATTGTATAGATTAAAAGCGAAATTTCGCTATAAGAATCTAGTTTTTCTTCAGATCAATGCGATACGGTTGTCTAACCGTTATCTCTTATCGATGACCGACACATCGGTCTTATTTCTCTTGTTATTTTTCTTCAATCTAAATACAATCCAATCAATCCATAATATAAAGTAAAATGTTATTTTTTTAATAAAAAATATCGTTCTTTTTTCTAATTTTGTTTTTGTTTTTCGAATAACAAGTTCGGCAAATGGTTTGAATAGCGAATTACTTTTGAATACTACTTCCGGCCTATTTAAGGGTAAACTAACTAAAATTCAAGATGTTCCAATCAAACAATATCTTGGTATTCCATACGGTGAAAAACCACTTCGTTTTCAAATGCCCGTCTTACGACGTTACAATGATAAAGCAATTGTACAAGCTGTAAGACGTACACCAGCATGTCTTCAAGCGCCCAGTAGCCTTTCATATGGTCCATTTGAACTGTCGGACATGTACGATGAAGATTGTCTAGCATTAAATATATTTATTCCAAAAACAAAATCACCAACACCAAAAGCAATTATGGTATTCTGTCATGGTGGTTCGAATCAAGTCGGTTCGGGTTCACTATTCGATGGAAGTGCTATAGCAGCTATTGGTGACGTTATTATCATAACGATTAACTATCGATTGAATATATTAGGATTCTTAACACCAGATCCGAAGATTATGTCGGGAAATTACGGTTTGCATGATCAATTATTAGCATTAAAATGGATATCAATGAATGCAAAATATTTCAATGGTGATCCACGGCGGATTACTTATGTCGGTCATTCAGCTGGTGCAGCTAATGCTATTTTACTTGCAATGTCAGAACGTTCAAATGGTATAATCGCGCGAGTTATTGCACAAAGTGGCGGCCCATTAAATCAATGGTAGATAATATTAAGTTATAGTTTGTATGTGTGTGTATCGTTTTTTCAAATTTTTACAGGGCCATTGATCGAAATCCAAGAGTTCGATTCGATAATGTTATTCAACGAAATGGTATGAATCCAAAGGAAAAACTATCTGAATCAAATATTGAAAGATTAAAAAATTTGACAGACAAAGAATTTCGCTATATGTATCATTCGGGTTTAGAAATATCACCTAATTATCCGTAAGATTTAATTTATTCGATTTAGTTTTGTAATTGACTTTCTTTTTTTTTTAATGACGATTAGATTTCCAGTGATTGATAATGATATATTAACTGATAATCTTGAAGATCTGATTCGTACTGGACCTCTAACTAATGTTGATATATTAATTGGTGCAACTGCTGATGAATCATTATATTTTGCTGAAGATCATATATTTCATCATTATTTACCACAGAAATATCGTACAATGGCATATTTAACACTTAATTCTCGAACCGCAACAACCAACAGTAATCAAACTCCTTCATCAAAATCCTCAGATACGAAACCAACTGAATATGAAGAACCCATTGGATTTTCTTATTTTAAGAAAAATCCATATATTAAAAATTATTTAAAGTCAAATTATCCTGATCTCCTATGTTATTATGATGAAATACAAGCACGATATATGCCTGCGGCAACGTATCAAAATAACGTAACTGTAGTTGCTCAGCTCTATACAAATCTAGTCAGGTAATAAACTTTGGAAGAAAATGAAAGTCAACTTACACTATCGAGTATTTTCATCTAGTGATTTAATGTTCTATTATGATCTTGTTCGTTTTCTTCATGAACGTCTATACTCCATATCATCAGCATCAACCTATGTCTATTATTATTCATATCCACCAATTTATGATTTTGAACATGTTGTGCGGCGTATGCCACAAAAGGTCGGCCATTTCGCAGAACTTGATTTAATATGGGGCATACCATTTTTTAATCGTTTAAATCTAACAAACCTAAATATGCCTTCTAATATGCATCTATCCTATACATCCGAAGAAATCCAACTTAGTTATCAAATGATTCGATATTGGACGAATTTTGCTAAAAGCGGTAATGAACTTTTCTTGTCTTGAATAAAATAATTTCTATTTTAAATTTTCTTGTTATTTGAAGGGAACCCAAATGACCCAAGTAATGTATCTACGCACTGGCCACGCTATGAACAAACAAAAAAATCCTTTATAAACTTTCACGCAAATAAACTGAACATCGAAGATAATTTTCTAGAAGAACGTTTTCAATTTTGGAATATGATATCACATCGTCCAATTTGTAATCCATTTCGTTGGTATCAAACGTGTTTACTTGTTGGTATTCTCATCCTTGCTATTTTATTAATAACAATTTATATTTTTCACAATACAAAGCGATCCCGTCGAAATATAAAACCAACAGAATTAACCACAACCAATATTTTAACTACTTATCGTTTTCTACCAAGTGTTGTATCGTAATTTAATTTATTGTTGTCTTCTTTCTCTTTTTTTTTGTATCTGAGTGTATAGTTATATTTAGTTTGACTCATAATCAATACTTCATTTTCTTTTTTACTTATCACATAAAAAGAAAGTCTTTAAAACAAAACGAAGAGTATCATAAAATATGTTGAAGCACCAGAGAATGAATATTGTGCCATTTGTTTTCTCTCTCTCTCTCTCTCTTTACATACTCATACGTTTCTATCTTAACGGTGAGTTGATGGAGAACGCAAAATGTCGACAATGGTAATATTGGCCGAGCGAAATTTTCCTCCGTCTGTTCCGTTTTCGATGCCCTATCGCGACATTAAGTTGAAATAGAAAAGAAAAAAAATTTGATAGGTAAAAAGGGACGCAGGAAAAAAGAAAAAAAAAGAGCCCATGTCTAGATATATGATTCATTCATCTGTGCGTTGACCGACCATACAACAGTGGACAGATTGTGCGTGTGCGTGTGTGTGTGTGCATCGTTGTGTCCTTTGCTTGAACACGACATTATCAAGGTTATATGAATAATCCTTTGCTGCTTATAGAAAATATTCAATCAAGAAGATAAAAATGGTAAGAAAAAGGTTACCACTATCAAGACCTTGAACTGTTCATAATCGCATTCTTTTTTTTTTCTACTTTAAGAATGGTGCTTATGCAAATGGAGGTGATGACGATCGTAATGATTCGACTCGAATAGTATCCTATAGATCTGCTGTTAGTAGAGAACATATGCGACCACCTCAACGTGCCAAACGAAAACGTATTGGTAATGATATTGATTTAAGTGATATCAATACCGATCTTGTTTACGTAAGTTCATTGACTATTCTTGAAATTTCGTTTCGTCCTTAATAATACTTTATTTCTTAGGATGAACATCAAATTTCCATTGAAGAACTTGTCCATCGATTTGATACAGATTTGAGAACGGTAATTAAGAGAACAATGTTAAAATTCAAACGATATCAAAGAATATTTTCTACCAGACGATTATGTTTGAAAAAAACATTTTTTTGATTTTCAAATTAAGAGTTACATGAAAATTTGCATTTTTATTTCTTCTATGAACTTTTGAGTAATCTACAAAACAAGTATTAACAGCTCTATCTTATCATGTTATCTAATAAACTGACCTTTTTTTTGTAAACTATAAAAGACAAATAATTCCCAAATTTTGTTCTCCTTGATAAACGTCTAGTTCTTTTTTTTCTGTTAATTTTAAATTTACTTATTTTATTTTCTCATTGAAAAAGGGCTTAACAAAAATTCAAGCTAAACAACGTTTAGTTGATGAAGGCCGTAATTATATTGAACCACCTCATGTCAGCATTTCTAAATCCTGCGAACGTTTTTGGCTTCAACCGTATATTCTATTTGTATCAATTTTATCCTTACTTGCCATTCTTTGTTTCGTGGCATTTGCTATTCAGCTCAATACACGTCAAGATCCAACATATGAGAATGTAAGAAAATAAAATTCTCGTAGGTGATAAAAACAATAATAATGTTTTTAATTTATTTAGCTTTATATGCTTATTGTTTTGATAATCTTCATTCTTTTACCAAGTATTTTTACGTTTGCCGTCGGACATATAAGTGCCAACAAATTGCAATATTTACGATATCAAATAAAACAAGTAAAACAAAAAAATTCTAAATTAAGTTATTTCGTGTACATAACACAGGAATAATAAAAAAGATCAGTAGACAATGTAACAAAACGGAAGCCCTCCGATTATCGTCAGAGGACGAAAGTATGTTTAGGAGAGAGAGGGAGAGAGAGAAAAAGAGAAAGGTGTGTATTCATGTTCGTCCTTCTCTTAAACATCACATCACATCATAATATAAGATTGTGAATAATGAAGATGATCCTTCAAAATCGACAGACACATACACAATATAATGATGACATTTCTTTTATTATGACATATTATTGTTGTATATTTCACCCGAACTTTCCTCAACTTTTTTTAATCCAATAAATCTCGACTTCATGTTTATTATTGAAACTTTAATCGATATTCAATAAGTAAAAAATAATAAGAACAACAACAACAACGAGGGGAAAAAATGATTTTACCAATGGTATTCGTTTACATATCTATTTTTTCAACATCAATTATAAATGGACAAGACGCACCATGTGAATCGAAAGATTCTCTATCTTGGACACCATGGTTTAATTTTCATAAACCATCTGTTAAAGGTGAATATGAACTACATGCAGCTATACGTAGTCGACATCCAACTATTGTTTGTCCTGAACCACGTTATGTATCAGCTGTCAACCAAGCTGGTATTGATATGAATCGCACACTTGATATGATTTTATTACGCTCGTATGATGTTTTTTGTTTGAATAATTACGATCCGAAATTTCACAGAAAAATTTGTGATGATTATAGCGTACGCTATTGTTGTCCACTAAGACTATCACCACCACAGCCACAGCCACAGCCACATCAGCAATCGCAACCACAGCCACAGCCACATCAGCAATCGCAACCACATCCACATCCACATCCACATCCACAGCTATCTAATCAAATACGTGATGTGTTTCTAAGAAATAAAACATATCCGAGTACTTCAATAGTAGATAATCAATTTCGATTTGTACAACCAAAATGTGGTCGAACAACAACATCGTCGAATTCATTTCAAATGAATGGAAATAATGGTTTTTTCATGAATCTATTCAACTCAATGCTTTCGAAAATAATCAATGGAGCTGAATCAACTCCGAATGGATGGCCTTGGTTGGTATCAATTGGTGTTCGTTATCGTGGTCCAACAGGTCAATGGCAAAACCGAACTCATATCTGTGGTGGAACATTAATCGAGCCATCGCATGTTCTCACAGCTGCTCATTGTCTTGAGCAAAAAATCGACGATCGACACGTGACTTTTACATCGACAAATCCTAATTTGGAATCATTATTTATTCTACGCATTGGTATTCATGATATTCGTTCAACACGATCAGAAGAAGTCTATGGAGTCAAGCGTATATTTGTACATGAAAGATTTATATCGAATACATTTGAAAATGATATTGCAATAATACGACTTGATCGACCTGTAACCGTAACTAAATATACGTCACCGATTTGTTTGCCACCAAACAATGTTCAACCTGGCGCACAAGTGATTGTTGCTGGTTGGGGTACAATAAGTGAATCATCGCGTGTTCATTCGAACGTACTTCGACAGGCTAATGTCAATATTTTACCAGCAACAAATTGCCGAGTTTACAACGATGTTCATTATGATACTTCAAAACAGCTATGTGCAGCAGCTTTAGATTGGTCAAAAGATACTTGGTATGTTGTTGGTTTCTTTTATGGAAACAGGAGTGGATTTTTTTATACTTTTATTTCTAGTGCTGGTGATAGTGGCGGTCCATTGATGTCTCAAGAGAACGGTGAATGGTCCATTAGTGGTATTACATCATATGGTTATGGTTGTTCGAAACGTGGATTTCCGGGTGTCTACGTTCGGACAGTACCCTATTTAACATGGATCAAGCAGAAAATGTTGACCACCTATTAGGATCTTCATCGTTGCGTTTTTTATCTGCATATAAATAAAATAACTTACGAAAAAAAAAAACTTAATATATCGATTAGTTGTTGTTCTGGGAGTCGAGTTTTTTTTCTTTATTTTTTTGTTTTAGCAAGTCGATGTGAAACGTGAAGGCGAATGGCAACGTATTAACTCAGAAGATCTCGTTCGTGGCGATATTATACATGTACGTGGTGGTGATCGCGTACCAGCCGATATTCGCATTGTACATACGTCAGGTCTTCAGGTCGATAATTCAATTCTAACAAAAGATACAGATCCTGTACCGAAATCAGCCGATTATACAAATACAAATCCATTGGAAACCAATAATTTATTATTGTGTGGAACAAGTGTATGTTTGAATTGATGTGTTTTTGCTTTGAAGTAAAACAATTAGAAATGATGATGATTGCTTTTCAGGTTACTCATGGATCAGCTATTGGTATTGTTGTTAAGACTGCTGATCATACATTATTGGGTAAAATGTCAAATACAACGGAAAGTAAGTTATGATAAATATCTATTTATTTTTCGCGTTGTTAATAAATCGTAAATATTTTAGGTTTGGATCCTAAACGAACAATTTATTCACGTACTATTCGTTCGTTGTTTCTTTTTCTTACGGTGCTCGGTCTTGTTCTTGGTGTTATTTTCTTTATTATACTTTATTCAACCGGTTACTATTGGCTGTATGCTATACAAATCATGATATCAGTTTATATTGCTTGCATTCCAGAAATTCTACCAGCTATAATTCATGTAATGAGAAAAAAGTCAAGTGTAGTTTTAAAAGATTCTCTTTATTTTGATGTTTTAGTTATGTTTAACGCGTACAGCAGAACGAATGGCAACCAGAAATTGTCTTGTAAAAGTTATTGATGCATTGTATGATTTGGCTTGTACAACAATATTATTTGTTGATAAATCTGTTTTAACAACGAATAATATGTTAGCTAGTCAAATATGGATACCATCAAATCAAGAACGAATTATAACAGCTGCTCCATCGGATGATCTAACAAGTAAAATTTTTTTTTTTCAACTGACAACTCATTCAGAAGGAATTATTCTCTAGAGCGTTTCAATAGATTCCAGTGTCTGATAAGCTCTAATATAAACCTAATTAAATATATATATGTATGTATAGAATACACATCGATTTTAAAGTTAATTGTATCGAGTTTACAACGTTCGTCCTTGCCAATGATCTTATTAGTGCAAAGCAAAAGTTTCTAATGAGACCTTGAGAACAATCGAAAACTTGATCCTTTGTACAAATGACTATTATTGATTATCAATAAGATAGAAATTGTGACAATTCTTTCAAATATTTGTATACATGTGACTAGCCTTGGAGTTCATACTATTTTGATCCCCGCGCGGAATTATGTTGTTTCTCCTAAATACGAAAAATATTTGATATTTTGTTTATGAACAATCAAAAAGTATTGACGAGTTCAACTGTGCCCCTACCTGCTAAACAGTTATTCACACATATTCTTGAAATTTAACGCTGTGAAGTCTAACTGTTTAAAATTCATTTTTAGTTATTCAAGAATGTATGCAAATGTCCGGCTGGCAAACATTAATGCGTACAGCTATACTTTGTAGTCAAGCTGAATATTTTATTGATCAACATCAAGCAAATCGAAATGCACCACTAGCAGAATGGTTTGTTAATAATAAAGGCATCATTTTTTGGATTATTATTTTTGTTTTTTTTTAAATTAGGGATGGTGATGCACGTGAAATAGCCATAATAAAATATGCTGAATATGCTGAATTAGATATAGCAGCTATACGTCAATTGTATCCTCGACGTGATATTCGTCGTTTTACACCAGAAATAAAACGAGTGGTTCGTATTTTAGCAGAAAAAAAATTGGATTTTACTTTTTGTTTTTCTCATTAAGGAATCGTATCATCACAATAATGAACCGAATATGGAAGGAATGCATCTTGATTGTATGATGGGTGCACCTGAACGTATATTTCATCGATGCTCAACTGTTCTATTGAATGATGAAGAAATACCAAACGATGGCGATATTGTTTTAGAACGAATGTTCAATGAAACACTTATTCAAATGGCTTCACTTGGTGAAACTGTTCTTGGTAAATAAAATAGATTTTTCGTGGGCGGAGAGATGAAGAGCATTATTAAATTTAAGGTTTTGCTGATCGACAATATCATCGTGATGAAGGTCCACAAGAAAATTGGCGTTTTCTCGGTCTTATGTCATTTAGTGATCCGATTCGAGAAAATGCTCCAACAGCCATTGAAAAATGTCGACTGGCTGGTGTTAAGGTAAATTATTCTTACACGTGAAAATATCGACAAGTTTTTATTTTAATAGGTTATTTTAATTTCTGGCGATCATCCAGTTACTGTGTGTGCACTTGCTAAACGTTTAACTATATTTTCGCCAGAATCGGAAACAGTTGAAGACGTAGCGATTAAACTTAATATACCAGTTGAACGTGTTGAACCGCGGTATGTTGCTTTTGAAAGAGTTTACTCTATTTATTTGTAAAACTTTATTTTAGACAAGCAACAGCTATCATTATTCATGGGCGTGATTTGAACAGTGTATCTCAAATTGATTTAGCTGATACAATAATAAATGCACCCGAAGTTGCTTTTGCTCGAACAACACTTCGACAAAAACAAAAAATTGTTGAATGTGCTCAATTAGGTAAAGCTGTTGTGGCATGTTTTTGTCAATCATCGGACGATCGTGGTGCAATTAGAAAGGCTGATGTTAGTGTGGCTATGCTTAATGGTAGTAGTGAAACATCAAGACAAGAAGCCGATCTTGTGTTACTGGATAATGATTTAAATACACTTGTTGGCGCCATTGAAGAAGGTCGTTACCTATGGGAAAATATTAAAAAATGTTTAGCTTATTGTCTTGTTGTTAATGTGACACAACTCGCTCCGTTTATTTTGTTTATTGTATTTCAAATACCATTAGCACTGGGTCCAATAACATTGTTACTTATTGATTTAATAACACAATTATTACCAACTATTTCACTTGCATATGAACGACCGGAATCGGACATAATGACACGAGGACCCATTGATAAATTTCGAGATTTACTGATCAATCGAAGGTAGAATAAACTTTTCATTTTATCCTAAATCGAAGAAATCATTTTTTTTTTGGAAACGATTTTATGAGCTAAGGTGAAAACTTATGCAATAAGTTTTTTTAATAGTCGTTTCTCTCAGTTAAAACAACCGATTTGGATGAGATATTCCTGTGCAATTATATTAAAAAGTCTGTAACGACTAAAAAGTCATCGTGACTCGTACTACTTTTACCGTTGCACATGCCTATAGAAAATGGTGCTAATTTCCAGTGTTTCTCCTTTTGTGACCTTGGAAAAGAGAATTGCATTTTTTTTCTCATTTAGACTTTTGTCACTTTGTTGGGGTCAAATTGGCGTTATACAAATTACAGCAGGATTTTTTACATGGATTGTTGTTATGGCTGAAAATGGATTTTGGCCATCACGTTTAATCGGTATTCGAAGAGCTTGGGATGCAGCAGCAATCAATGATTTAGAAGATTCCTATGGACAAGAATGGGTAAGGAAAAATAAAACAAACACTATTTCTTTAAATAGTGTTTACGATTTTTCTTTTCTTATATAGACTTATCGGCAACGAAAAATACTTGAATATATGGGTTATGCAGCATTTCTAGCAGCTATTATTGTTGTACAAATAGCTAATCTACTTATTTGTAAAACTCGTCGTTTATCATTATTTCAGCAGGGTTTACGAACGTAAATTAATTATGATAAATGTTTTCTTAGTTCTACTTTGTTTTTCTTTACAGAAATATGTTTGTCAATTTTTGTTTAATATTTATGCCAGCTCTAGCTGTCCTATTGATTTATATACCAGGTCTAAATCGAGCAATTTTTCTTGAACGATTACAGTAAGTTATTCTTTTCTTTATTCAATTTTAATTTTCATACGATTTAGACCTCTGTGGTGGTTGTGTCCTGTTCCATTTGCCTTGATGATTTTTGGTTATGATGAAATACGTAAATTTTTTATTAGAAAAAGTCCAGAAGGTTGGGTAGCTAAGGAGACATATCATTGATTCGAAATGAATCTCAATTCTTCTTTTTTTCTTGTTCTGCACATTGTTTTGCCGTTTGTTTGTTTTTGTTTTTTTTACTCAATTGGCTTACTTCGTATGCATTCCAGCTATGGTTGTCTTTTGTTTTTCTTCGTGGAATGATTATGTATTCATTTGTATCCTCATAAATAAAGTGTTTTTCTTTTAAATTAGTAAAGTAAACATTGTTTAATAATTTCCAATTAAATATTATATGATTTTGAATGATTCACTTTTCGATACGAGTGATTCTAATTGTGCTTTTTTAATGTATGAATACATTTTAAGAGAATTTCATCTAACAAATAAATTTAGTTAGAAAAATATGTTTTTCCAGCTTTTGAAAATTGTTTTACATTCACACGATTTACTAAAAGATTTCTTTCTTAAGAAAACAGTACCATAATAGAAGAAGAAGAAGAAGAAAAAGGCTATTCTGTAAAAATAACCTTGTATTAATTATTCAATAATGACATCTATGATAAATCTTATATTTCTATGGCATGTCCAGTTGATCTATTTGGCCTCTATATTAATATTGTCTACTAGTCAACAAAAAAAAGTAGAAGACGTTTTCATCACATAACAAGTTTCCACGTCTAGCCAATTGCTTTCTTTTCAAAAAATAAAATTTCCTAAAGAAGTCTAAATCGATTACATTTTTACCTAGAAAAATGCCTGAAGATTTTTCTTTGCCTTACCCTGGACGTGTAACACATAAATAAAAGTCATTTGTATGTGCAAAAGCAAGGCAAACTATAGTCGATTTGTTTTGAACATTTTCCAGATGGATATGTTGCTTTTCTTTAATTGATTTTTTGTCGGAGAAATGTCACGATGAAAGTGACTGATTTGGGTAACTATCTGCATGAACTTGAGTATGCTCTAACAAAAACCCGTGATTAACTCGTGTCTGCTTCAATATTTGATATTGTTACGATAAAAAGAACCAGTATCGTACCATAAGAAACTTAGCAAATATCATGTCATACATTTGTTTTTTCAGTATGTAAAACTATAAATCTAGTTCTTATTAGATAGCAGCAAGTCTTCGACGGTATTAAATAGGATGTTTTTGACAAAATTGAATTTAATCGTACTCTATTTGTATAACCATTTTTTGACACAACGCTTTCAACACAAGTGCAAGTTGATTTTTAATTAAGCATATTAACACATGAACATATAAGAACAATCTGTTAATTACTTATTCTTTAAATGTCAAAGCAAAATATTTTTAATTCAAGAGGATGTCTAATTTTGAAAATCAATTAGACGAGTATTATTCAATATCATGCGAGGACACAATCTTAAAAAGTGTACTCAACAATGATGCATTATATCTTCAATGGCATATTCAGGTAAAAATATAGTTATTTTGTACGGGATTTTATTTTTACTCTAGTCAAAAGCATACACGCATGAATAGTAGATCAAAAGTTATCATCATGTCAAACATATTATTATGTAATTAGAATATTTAATAGCAATATGATAGAGATGGATTTGTCCGTAGGATTACTTTTTCTAGATTTATGTATTTTTAATAAGAACAAATCTTTTGTAAAAAGAAAAGTTTTAAGTGATAAATTATATAGATAAAAATTTAGAAAACGAATACTATTTAATGTTAACTTTTTAACAGTCAATCATAGTCGAATGTTATTTTTTGTTGTTTTAGTAATTTGTGGTATTTTTTCTTCTTTCTCTTCTTTAAATAGAACGGTGATATGACCTTGACAATGACAAGTGAAAGAGAAAACAAACGACGAACACGCGGATAATTGGAATCTCTGTTTTTTTGTTCTCTCGTTTTCTTTTTTTCGAGGTTCTTCCGTACATGACACACACAATAGTGTTCTTCTTTGTCTGTACGTCTGTCAGAATCGATGAGTCTAGAAAAAACAGAACACAAGAATAATGCCTTGATATCGAGGCATCAACCAGGATGACGATCATGACGAGGAGGATGATGATGATGATGATGATGATGGTGATGATCATCATCATCATCATCATTTTTGCTGCTTACCATTGAAGGTCATTTTTCCTCATCTTTCTTTCTTTATTCTTCTTTTATGCTCTATTGCCGACAACAAACGAACGATGAACACTCAAAATCATCGGAAATGATGACCAATTATAGTCGATCAGTTCTAATTCAAGGTTGTTTTTTTACGACAATGAATATCAACACTTATTTCGTTTTCAAAACTATAGAAACTAAAATCGAAAAGAATTGAATTTAACTTTATAGTTTAATTCAATTAATATTTATAATTTGATTGATTGATTGATTGAATAGATGATAGGTGTCATAGAGATGGCAATATGATAGAAAAACGAGAGTTTTCTACAATAGACGACTTTATGTGAGCAAACGAAATTGAAACGGCACACAATACTTCCCTTTCCTATTCTGTTCTTTTGTAGTCTTGTGCGCATATGTGACGAGAGGAAAGAAAGATAAAAAAACAAGTGAGAAAACAGAAAATACTTTATGAAATCCAGGGCTCTGTTTATATCGAGGGACAGCTTGTTGCTTGTGTATGTCTCTCGTTGAGTAGCGTACTCATGAGGCAAGATACAGAAGTGCATGAGAGAAAGAGAGAGAGAAAGAGAGCGCCAAAGGAAGAAGCAAGCAACAGCACCAGCAGTAACAGGAGCAGCAGCAAATAGCATAGAAAGAAAGAAGTGAATAGCAAGGAAGAGAGAAGCGAGCAAGCAATCGATATTGTGTGTGCATGTGTGCGCTTAGTACAGCAACAAGAAATAAAATACCATGGTGTTATCAAAACAGTTGAGACTCTGTCGCTCGAGTATAAACGCAAGAATGACAATGTTCTTTATGTTGACATTGTCATCACTATTGATATTTTTCAATCGTTCTATTGTTCACCAATCCGTGACTCGATTAGTATCGTTGTTTCTATGTTATAAACAAAATAATGCACATACATATTATTACTATTTTCTATTGACACTATCATATTGCGGTAGGTTGTTTGCGCTTATATGTTTTTTTACATTTCAATCTCTGCTAAACATATTATTCTGATAATTATTAATCAATTTTTCATATAGAAAAATAAGTGGATTCGAAGGGCACGTATCATATTTCATCGTATATGAGTAAATCTTTCCCGTATCAAATTCTTAATAACGTCCATATTAGTAGACGAGACTCGGTAGTTAGACTTAATCTAGTTTGCGCTTGTTTTTTCTAAATAACTTTATGTTACGATCGAGGTTAGTGTAATATGCACATTGTCCTCAGGTGATTTCACATCGGTTTTATTTTTCATCCTTATTTTTCGACAATGTGGACAGACAAGTTATCCGTCTGGAAATTGATGTAAATACTTACTATATCTATCCACATGCTCATCTTTTACTTTAGTAGGAATGCAATTTTTGGTTAGACTCCATTTTCTTTCTCATATTTTTAATGCGCCTATCTAATTAGTTGGTATCTCCTTTATTTTGCTGTTTTTAAAATAATCCATAGATTAATCTATGCCATGGAACCTGATATCCTTGCTCTGTTTTTTCTTCTTCTAATTTTTAATAATATAAGTGTACCCTTTTTCTTGATGAGATCAGTTGATAATGATTGTTTTACTGACCTGATAGGATGTGAAAGTTAGAAACAAAATTTTTTTTATTCACTCGTTCTAATTATGAACAGAAACCGCGCGTAAATGCAACGATGATTGTGACATAGGATGTATACTTATACTATTAAGATTCGTGTTTACACGCATGATTGTTTGCGCATCATGTATATGTTTAACATTTTCGCATGTGAGAATACACTGAAACGCTTACGTGAAAATTGCCTAATTTGAATTCTTAAGAAAAAAAAACTAAAATGCTCTAAAGAGGTGACGCATGCAAATGTTTGTTTTCTAGTTCTAAAGGATATGAATTTATATAATTTTACTATTTTTTTTACTTAGTTATTTAGTAGTATTTGAAGTAGTTTCAAATATGTAGGATATAATTATTATCCGATCAGGTTTTGACAAACATACACATGCGTGTTAACAATTAGTAAAAAATTTGAGATTGAACCAGGTTTTTAAGATGAGCGTTGCATGTTTATAGAAAGAAGTAGAAATCTATTTTAACAAGGAATAAACAATGACATTTTGAAGAAAAAAATCTTCATTTTTCTACAAGTCAGTATTTAGATAAAAATAGTAAAAGTTTGCATGTCAATATAAAATTGCTTCAATCGAAACTTCTTTTCTTTTCTTTTCATTTACATGTTGGATTTGACGAAATTCTAGTTCTCTCATGAGTCAGTGCATTCAGATGAAGTTTCAACAGATCCATGCAGGTTAAGTGTTTCTTATAAATACATGGAAACGTATTGCATGCGAATAAACATAATGATAATACTTGTGCACGTCCCGTATTCTATTTGAACTAGTGCAAAAGTTGTACCCACGTTTACTGATATTCTACATTTATGAGAGAGAGAGAGAGAGAGAGAGAAAGAAGTTGAAGAATATCTCAAATGATTCACTTAATTGCGTCTGAGGGAAAAGTTGAGTACATGAATAGTTTGTAAATGTAAAAGGACAATTGAGAGATATTCTTGCGAGTACAAATAGAAGAGTCAGAGCTGAGCTCATCACAATCAACAAGGTTTGTAGTATTAAATATTATAACGATGGTTTAGGTAAATATTTCTTAGATATGTGCTGAAAAGGGCACGATCGGAGTTAGAAATTGATATTCTACTTTCAATAATGCTGGAGTTCGATTATTTTTCTATAATCTAATTCTCTAGCTTCAGATATTCGATAGGTACATATATAGTTTTAAGATTATTTGCCGTTTATGTTTATCATTCAGGTAGCAGCAGTAGTTATTTTTTATTTTTAGTAATAGTTTTCAGAGACAGAAAGACAAATAGCACCAGTCGATCGATTGAATCATACTATTTTTTAGCTCGGTTATATTTCTATTATAGA